GGTGCCAGCATCTCGGCTGCGCGAACCGAGAGACAAAAGGCCGCCATCCAAGCCGACCTGAAATACCTTTACTCGGCCTTTACCAAGATTCCCTGCCTGCGACTTGCGCCTGATTGGCGCGCCCGGCTGATCCGTGGCTACGAAGAATTCCCATTCGATTCGGCTGTTCCGCTGTACGTCTTCAAGAATTTGCAAGCCCTTGAAGTGAGCAGCATCGACTTTCGACAGTTTTTTGGCTGGGATCGCTTGGCCGAGCAGCTGAGGTCGCTGACGCTCAAGCGCGCCGGCGTGGAGGACCCCGCGGATATCCTCATTGACATTGTGCTCGACGATATGGACAAGAGACGCAGGAGGACCTCGAAGCAACAATCCTCACCCACCACGCCTTGGCCCGCGAGCTCCAGCCCTCGCAGGAGTCCCGTCATCCCGCACGCCGAACTTCACAAGTCGACCTCGGTGCCCTGCTCTCCGGAACCGCGCCACTCCATCGGTGACTTGGGCATCGCCTCCATGAACATGCATGACCATGCCGTTGACGAGATCCCTGGCGAAGGCAGACGGCCCTCCCTGGCTAGAACTGAAACGTTTGAAGCCATGTCACCTCCCAAGGGATCAAGACCGCGCAGCAACTCGCCCACTCGTCCCGCCAGCTCCCGCAACCCCTCGCACATGAGGGGCGGACACAAGGTCCGCCGCTCTGGCTCTGGTAGCTCGCATTCCAGCCTCTCGGACTCGTGGCACCACAGCCGCGCTGGAAGTTCTTCGAACCTTCTCAACATGGGCGTTCTGCCAGCATCCAAGTGGCGATTCCTGAAGCACCTCAGTTTAGCCGACAACTCGATGACTTCGATTCCCGCTACTAGCTTGGTGCCCCTTGCAAACACGCTTCACTCGCTGGACTTGTCGTCAAACCTGTTTACGCAGATTCCCGACAGTCTGGCCACACTCACCGCGCTCCGCGCTCTTAACCTCTCTCACTGCATGATTGACGGGCTCCATTCCCTAACGCGCAATCCTCTCCCGGCTATCTCGGCCCTCAACCTCCGAGCCAACCGATTGCAGTCAATCGCCGGCGTTGAGAAGTTGTATCCCCTGGAGCGATTGGACCTTCGGGACAACCGCTTGTCGGATCCCTTGGAGCTTGCCAGACTGACCGGGATCCCCGACATCCGGGAGATCTGGGTCGAGGGCAACCCCTTCACCCGCACTCACAAGGACTACCGCATCACTATCTTCAACCTCTTCCGCAAGACTCCGGGCTACACTGAGGACATTGTCATCGACAACAGCGGCCCCACCTACTCGGAGAGGAGATACCTGGTGGAGCGTACGCCGGTGCCCGCCGCTGTACCGGTCGTCAAGCCTGCTCCCACCGTCATTCCTGCCGTTGACGTTAGCAAGCCAGCTATCATCTACGATATCCCGAAGGAGTCTTCCGTTCTCCGCAAGGAGCGGCCTGTCCCGAAGGCTGTCACTAGCGAAGTCAACACTAGCTCCACTCGTCGCCGAAAGACACCCAAGCGGCGAATCGTGGACCTGTCGACCACAGATGCATCCGTTACTGTGACACCCGGTGTCATGCAGGCGGCTTCTGGGAACGTCAAGGTTCTCGCCGCCGATGCCACGGTGACTGCAGCCGGTTCGGACAACAACTACCGCATCTCCCTGGCCCCAGAGATCCCTCCCTTGCCATCGGCTATGCTCTCCGATGGCCGGAAATCCAACTCCCAGCCCGAGGTGCCCCGCATAGATACCAGCGTGGTTCCCGAGCTCCCACCCATCTACACAACCCGTGAGGCCCCGTCAGACTCTAAGGACTGGGATGTCAGCGGGGAGATGTACCGCCGGAAGATCGAGGCATTGCGGGACAAGGTTGGAAATGGTTACCTCAGTGTGCTCAGTGAGGAGGGCTGGGATCCCTCCCGCCCGCCAACATACTCGGTACCAGACTTCAGCCCAGCCTCGACTGTTCGACCTAGTCCCACCACCCCTCGGACTACCTCACACCACCCTCCGGCCATCCACAGTGGCCGCACCCTTGGTTAAAACGAAAAGAAAAACAAAAAGAGTCGCCCTTTACACATGATACCCTTCATGATACCCACCCCCCTCTTGAGGTTCTATTCTACCATTGGGCTACTTTTTCGAATTCTCCTTCTGCAGCATTGCATACCGCACTGCAACAAGCATGGACATTCAATACACGTCCACACCATTGTGTTATTGGTCATTTATCCCCATCATGGTAGAGCATAGCGTACGAGGCGTTCCCGGTTTGGCGGCTACCTGGTTTCAGTTTCCGCATTTTCCTTCTTACAGTTTCCACTGCCCAAAGTGGGTAGAAAGCCACAATAGATCCTGTTGCTTCCCGTCTGTTCTGGTTTCTTGGCGCGACCTCCACGAGGTCTCTCTAGGGATGGAAGGGGTAAAAAGCGAGTGACATTGGGCGTGCAGGATTCTTCTCTTCTCAAGACTTGTCGACCTCTTTTTCTCCTTCCTGGTTGCGCATGTTGCGGATCCGGGCTTGGCTGGCGTTGGTGGAAACACATTTCGAGTGGCCAGAGTTGTTCTTTTAGTATCACGGGGCACGAAAAAGAATTCCGCATGAGTTTGCTTGCATTGTAGTTGGTTCTTATTATGGTAGATGAGCACTTGTCTTAGAGACAAGCTGGTGGGCGACTTCTAATACATGATGACACGCATACTTGATTGAAAACTCTCTGTCCACTGCCCACTGTGCCTCGTAATATTTGACGCAATCTTGGGAACCCAGCTTTCTTCAACTTGGTCTTGCATAACCTTTCGCCTGTTCGTCGTGTTCTTGACGGCTATGTCGACAAAAGTTCAACCCTGGCTTCGGCCCCCTTTTACATGAGCAAGGCTGACGTTGGTTTCTGTTGGAGAGGGTGCCACCCCATGTAAGACACACACCATGCCTGGGACGATTACCATCGCCATCATTGTCCATTGTTGTCATTGTGCTTCTAAGCATATGACCTGTTCCTGCCTGATGACGACTATCGGCGATCTCTCTGGTCTGTTGGCTGGTTCTCGACTTGACCTGATCCCGGCATAGGCGTATTCGACGTGGTGGCCGTCACTTTCTGTTTGCTCGAGACATAGATATTGGACTCGTCCGGCTTTCCTTTCTTCTTTCCATCTCCCTGACATGCCAGGCCGTTGAGCATCCAGCCGTCTTGCCATCCATCCATTTTACACCTCAACACATCATAACCACCTTAAGGTGCACAGAACCCAGACATGACAACCCAGACCAGCCCGAGGTTGTCAACTGTGTTAAGCAGTGTGTCATCGCTCGCCCTCTCAGCTAGCAGCGATCAGATGGCATTGAAATCCGGACTGAAACGTCATCCAAACCCTTATCCAAAGTTTTATCCGCACTAAAAGTTTCACCTGGTTACTCTGACCTACAGGAACTCACTAAGGAGATTATAGAGTCATATACCAAAGCTTTATCGTCTGACAATATCTGTACACTACGCGCATTTTCTCAGCGAATTCTCTCGGTCCACTAACGACTGAACTGGTTTCTTCAGATAACAACTTCCCGCTTCAAAAAGACGGAGTTTTTCAGGGCTCATTACCATATCGCAAAAGTTCTCGACACAAGTGGGAACGGGGCAAAGGTCGAGGCGGAGATGAGAGTTTCTTAGAGTGACCCTGGAAATCTGAGCCCCGCCCCGGCGCGAGGTACCAAATGGCGCCCTTGCTCGATTTTGAGAACTGTGGGAGGCGTTTCGTGGACGCCAATGAGGGGCTGTTCTACGGCGTCTTGCTTTGCCGAGGGCTTTTTCGCCTTTCGCCCTTCCGGTGCTGATGGCACCGCACCGGACACTCGTGTCTCCTTGATATCTGGTTGACCAGCGTAAGCAAGCCCCCGGTGGATAGACGCGTTGGCACTTGCGCTGGGTGGCGTGGCCGCTACAGGTTTTCAGAGGGTGCGCGTACGGTCTGTTTTCTTGTGCTAGCAGCAACTCGAAGCCAGCCATGAGGCAAAGGACCGCTTCGAGTATGACATGTCCGTCGATCTACATGCTCCTATAGCGCGTCCATCTTGCTTCATTCCGTCTTCTTCTCCTGTGGGACACTATTGAACAAAATAGAAACCGAGTCCAGATGCATAAGAAAAAGGCATATGTAAGACGAGCGAGTCAAAGAGAAAACGGCAGATTTATTGTGTTGTTTCGGGTGAGTATTCCACAGGAGCACCATGGTACAGCCACTACATATGAAAACAACCGGTACCCAAGGCATTGTTGAAGATGTTTCCGTGTGATATCTCGAGGATACTTTGTTGTGCTCATCAACTACAAGGGCCTGTATGATAAAAGTTCCCTTTCGCCTTTGCAACGGTGCGCATCATTTGTCACACCGTCCACCGTCCTCGGTCGCCTATTCATTCACCTCGTGTGCAGAAGAGCATGTGAGCAGCTACGGACCACAGAGTAAGATCGGACCCCGAGCGGCAGCATGGAAACCGGCATGGGATACCGCGGGGAACACCATGACGTGTCCTCTGATGGGCATCTGGTCGTCGTGTCAACTTTTACAACCCTATATGGCCATGTTATCCATGGAAAAGGCGTCTATCCATCACCGGTGTCTTCGGAATGACCCGTCGCCACGTCTCCTAGGCCGGCCCTCCTGGTCTTGAGGCACCATGATAGGGCCGATGGATGCAACAGGCGGTTTGAGATGGTCGATTCCTGCATGTGGTGTGTTTCCTCCAGGAGCGACCAACTGATTTGGAAAGGCTGGTTTGAGGCCGGGGAACGAGATGACCGCCTCTTTATCAAAGGAAGCGGGTTCCGCCAAAAGAAGACTTCGGATGCCCCAAACGCTACCGTTCCTCCCGACCATAGAAGGGAGCCCCCCCTTGCCGACCATCGTTTCCCGCGATCAGGGACATCCCTGCCCGCACATCTTCAGGTCAGGAAGAACCGTCACCTTAATCATCTGAATCGAGTGATCTGAATTCGATGCCTGCTCTTTCGCCAGATGGTCGATCAGGCGACACGTTGCCAGCTTTCAACAGCGAGGTCAACAGCCCTGAGGTACAGTCGTCCTCTTCCCATAACTCTGAAGCCGATTGCGCCATCAACGAGCTCTCTGGAGAGTGTGTCTCACATGAAGATGATGACCAGGAACCATCACCCAAGAAGAGTCTCATCAAGACCCGGGTTCCAGCCACTAGTAACACTAAGGAGACAGGCAAGAACGGCAAGAAGCGTGGCAGAGATGACAATGCTATTCCTAAGAAGCCAGTAAAGAAGGCACGCACTAGTCCTGGCCCACGTGATGGTAGTACTGAGTCCTCGAAGAAGTCAAGTGCTAAGAGAACAGCTGCTTCTACGCGGCCTAAGCATCAAAACGGGAAGTAAAGAAATGGGAATGACTTGGTGGCGAGAGAGACTGGGTATGACTGAAGTGGCTGGCTGCGAACGTGGATACTGGATGTGAAGGTAGCAGATACACCTGGTGGTGTGAAGACATGGTAGGGCTGCAGGTCCCTCCCTACTCTGGCCCCGCAGGGGACCACATGCTTGGTATTTCCATTGTAACCCGGATAGTCCAATCCGATGTTATAACGCGCAAGAAGGCTTAAGTCTCCAGAAGCACAGGCGTAGTATAGGAAGTATCCATGGGCAAAGATGATTGGAAATCGCAATTTCGCTTCAAACCCAGTCGCAAACGCTAGATGTCAGAGCTCGGGACAAACAACGACAGAAACAGTGACAACATCAAACAGGGCAACCTGTTGGCGTCGCTGCAAGCTACAAAGCCGGTGCCGCGCGGTTAGGATGACAAAAAGGTGTACCGGAAAGACCAGCTTCCCTGGTGTCCGGTTTCGGCCCGCACGAATGACGGATGTTATCAACCGCGATTGACGAGGATTCAGATTTCCAAGCCAAGACGGATGACTTGGACATCGGCTTTTCCGTGTTCCCGCAGAAGCCTCTGGGGCCAGGCAGCGCGGCGTGGCAGGAGTGAAACGCGAATGCCGATGAAACTTCCCTGACATGGCCTTGCTCGGAGCTTTATAAGCTCGTAGATCTTGCCCTGAACACACTCGAGCGTCGATCATTTACGTGAGAAATGTTTTGACTCCCCTCAGTATGAGCCACCCAAGGGGGGCCTCCAAGACAGCTGATAAGAGAGAGGGGGGGGAAAGCTGCCAAACCAACTGCCACCAAGTATTGGTTTGTTCTGTACACCGGTGGCCGGTACACGCGGGCTATCCCGATGACCACCAAGAGCCAAGGCATGCATTCGCAGCCGCCATGCATCGGGATACGCTGGAGAGGTGTAGTGCCAAAGAGCGGTTCCCTGGCCTGACCCTGCTTTCCATTTGACGTATTTGAAGAGCGGGTCGAGCAACGTTCCGGGATCGGCCTCCAGGAAGAGCACGAGTTGTCTTTTGACTCGCGCAGGTTGTATCGGCTGCTGTCATGCACACTGACTCATTCATTGGTCGGTCGTTAGCATTGGGAGAGACTGAACGCGATTCTTGACTATTCTGCCGCCCGTCACGATAGTATTCATCCGAGCTGATGTGGCTTCACCCAGATGATGGTGGAGAAAAGGAAGTTGGCATCATCACGGATAGGCGATGACATGTTCCCGAGCCAGATGTATGAATTCGATACAACGTCAACGACACAACGCCAACCCCGGGTAACAACAGTGAAATCACATTAGCCGGATCTTTGGGTGAATCCAAGGCCGTATAGTGGCTTGAAACTTCTGCGTCGACAATCCCCGGCCACGGAGGCGGGTGTCGCTAAGACAATCGGGGACTGAGTCGTGGCTTGAGGCAACAAAGGAAGCCGAATTCTACATTTCAGCGAAACAGATTTTTCATTTGTTACACGCTGGCTCACCACACGAAAGTTTCAAGGCTTGGGAAAGACGCCTAATGGATGGGTTGTCGTTGGAACCGTCTTTGCTCGCGAGCAACGCTGACTTTCATAGTCAAGACTCGTGATGATAGCGTTGTCGTACGTATGCCCCCTCTAAAAGGCTCGAGGACCCATTGAGCAGAGCACCAGAAAAAAGCACCCTCCCATGGTAGAAAGAGCCGGATGCACGGGCTGGAAGATCCCATCATGCTCAAGCACCATTAAGTATGTAGGGGGTGATTGCTGGGGATGGTATAGTGTAGTTGGAAGCAGGAGCAACTTGGACAGATTGCTAGTGGAACAAGGTCGCGGCGTTCAGAAGCGTCTTACGCTCGAAGGTAAGCGAGACCAGCGACATGGGCTGAAACGAAATGTGAAAAATAAGGACAATGTCCGATAATGTAGTTGGGGTTTCACGCGTGCAAACGCTGACGGGAGGCTTCCCGACTGCCGCTGAGGACTTGCCAGACCGACCCGATGAAGCGGGTGGTGAGCATGACTTCGCTTGCGAAGACTAGATGAATGCGTTGGGTCTGTAATTGACATGTTCCATGAACTCTGCAATTATGCGCTCCGTTGTTCATGACGATCGCGCCAGAGGCGACCATCGTGTTTGACGATCGCAAAGACGCATTGGCATGAGGCTTAACTAATATGGTGCTGCTCGGTTGGGGTGTTGTGATTCCCACTGAGATCATTATTTCGGATCAATGTTGATCGGGTGAGTGGTTGTCGAGGATGGACTCCGGAAAACACACCAGAGGGTTTGCTGGTCGAAGGGAATAGAGCAGCTGATTAATACGACGAGCGCACCCACCACCTTGGTGCCACTCGACCGACTAGATCACTGGGGACCTTCAACACTGTTGAGTCGCGGAGAATATTCTCAGTGTGGTGTGGAAACTTGATCGGTCGGGATGGGTCAACGGAGGGGCCGCACAGTTCGCCCACAAACGCATTACCGGCGAAGGAACAAACGCTCCAAATGGCGTGTCTTGACAAGAATAGCGAGATGCATGAGATGCTTATGGGATGCCGGCACGGTATACATGCTGCCAGCGGCTGACGACTGACGACTGAATGATGCTGTCAGGACGTCATGGGTAAAGACTTGAGAAGAAAAGGCTTCGCAAACCGCCGTCACCAAAATGCGTCTAGACTGATCTCTGACCGCAATTTATCTAGCTGATCGGAACCCTGATCAGAGACTTGCCGGACAGGGTGGCCATGTGGTGGTGGATTATGGTTTCCGATCGAGGGGGGGGGGGGGGGGCGGTAAGGCACATTGGCCGCGACTTGGCCGCCTCGGGGAAGGGTCCGGAAATGTGGAGATAGATCCGGGGTTGATCGCAGTGCCATCAATAACGGTCGCAGGTCTGGTAACTGCGAACGTTCGAGAAGAAGGCTCTCGACTGCGTTGGCGTGCGACGGGGCTCTGATTGGATCGAGGAGGAGGGCTCCATGGCGCAAGGAATAATGCTCTTGTGCTGATGCGACGAGTCTCAGCCTCAGCCATGGTGCGACCATCATGTATAGTGCGAACCCACTTCTCGGCCGAAATGAATAACGTTCTTGTCTTGTCGCGATGTCCAACCTATCGAGTCTGAGCTTCAACGAAATGACTCGGTACATGCAAAGTTGTGGAGAGATGTGCCGTGGGCTACCTCTCATTGCCTGCATGTTTGTCGTGACGGCCTCATGCAGCCAGTCATACAGCAACCGAGTGGGTAGTTTAAATGATGCACAGCAGCGAGCAGACAGTGGCCGCACTGATGAGATGGGCAGAGGCGCTAAGAAGTAAAGACGTGATGATGGGATGGTCACCGGGGCTAACGGCCGGGGAGGATAAACGGCTTACAGACGAGGTAGTTGCCGACAAGGGACTACTACGTACGGCCCTGCCAGGAATGGTATTTCGATCTGATAAAAACCCATATGGAAAAATGGGAGCGTGTCCAATCAAAAGTCATATAGAAGGCGCTAGTGTGGAGGTGGATGCGGGTGCGGCTTCCCCCCAAAACCTGAAGCGAACCCCATTCACCCCCTGCCGCTTACATCTGCAGATGACTAATAGCGCGTTGCCCCTGCGGCCAACAATGGTATCCGGGTCCGTGCGTTTCAACCTCACGCGTTCTCTGTTTTTCGCAGGAGTAACTCTGAGCCGCAAGTTCGACATCACCTCGTCTCCTGATGTCCTTCTCAACTTGTTTCCAAGCCAGCATTACTTTCGCCTTCACACTATAACCTTGTTGCGTGTCGGAGATACGTGCGCGGTCCTGTTTCGCCAATGCCCCGCCCCTTCCCTCAGCCGCACTACGACTCCGCGCGCCACCTCCTCCCGACGCGGTGATTCTTGACACTCCCCCCTAGCCCATCAAAAGAAGCATAATTCCAAGAGAAAACAATTGCCAAACATGCCGTCGAAACCTTCCACGCCGCGCCGACCTCCCACCGGTCGAAAACGGGGACGTCCTCCGGGGACTACGAATGCCGCTCGCATTGCGCGCGAGGTCGGCGATTCCCCCGCACCGCCGCCCAGCCGATCAGCGCGCGAGCACGCTACCCCTTCGGCTGCCCCTCAGACCGAACCGCCGCCAAAGAGAAGGAGATACATACCCGGCGGTGCCGGCGGCGGTGGCCGCTTCATCGATGATGACGGAACCCACACCCCCATCACAGTGCGCAGACAGCCAAGGGAGCCGCGCACCGTATCTGCCGTAGTGCCGAGACGAGAAAGAAGCGCAAGACTACGAACCGCTGCCGACCGAGACGACATGGAATTTAGCTCTGCTGCCGCGGTTGCCGCAGCTGTTGCCGAGAACGAAGGTTACAAGCCCAGAGAGGAGCGAGGCTGGGAGGAGTTCCATCCGAAGCTCGATATTGATGCCACGTTCATGATATTCCGCTCCGAAGAAGTTGACGGCATCCCTCTCCCAACTGCCAAATCACCTCCCAGAACTCCGGCTGCGGTCCGACCCTCGACGCCGATGAACGGTTCCAGTACGCCGTTGAGGGAGATGAATCCGGCCTCGACCGGCAACACCCCAGTCCCGACAACAAATGCATACTTTGCGCTTTCCATCGTTGGAAGCGAATCACCACAAAAACGCCGGACAAGACCTCCGCGCGAATCAGTCTCTTTTCTCAACCGAGACCTGGCTCCGGCGTCGATGCCCCGAGTGCCTCAGGTTCTGCCCATTCGTAACCAAACACCAAAGGAGCGCCTCGATCTCAAGGCGCCATCTTACCGTCGCTCAGACCAGGTGGAGCAGTTTGAGAGCAAGAGCTTTGGCCAGGCGAGATACGTCGACAAGTCGATGATGAATGTGGGCTACCAGGAGACCGATCGCTACATCCGACCCGAAGGCAGCCTCATCAAGGCCGCGGAGCCGAACTTGGAAGAAGATCTCGAACTGGCGGCTGTCAAGATCGATGGCGATGCACATCCGACTTCTGGCACTAACGTGGGACGTGTCGAGTACGACATGGACGAGCAGGATGACCAGTGGCTGGAAGCTTACAACAAGGAACATCGCAAGGGCCACGAGCTTGAACCGATTACCCGGGAAGTGTTCGAGATTGCCATCACCAAGATTGAAAAGGAATGGCATGCGTTGGAGAAGCGGATACCGAAGCCAAATCCCAAGCCCCCTCAGACTCATCGACCACGGTCGAGTTCAGCGGCGGCGGTCAATGGCGAGCCCCAGGTCGGAGAGGAACAAGACAGCAAGTGCGCAATTTGCGACGATGGCGACTGCGAAAACACCAACGCAATTGTGTTCTGCGATGGCTGCGATCTTGCTGTCCACCAGGAGTGTTATGGTGTCCCTTTTATCCCCGAGGGACAGTGGCTCTGCAGAAAGTGCCAGCTTATTGGGCGTGGCATACCGGTAAGCCCCTCTTCTCTTGACAAGTCTTGACAGCATTGTTAACCTTGACTCTAGACATGCATATTCTGCCCTAACACGGACGGAGCCTTTAAACAGACCAATTCTTCGAAATGGGCTCATCTTCTCTGCGCCATGTGGATACCGGAAGTCTCCTTGGGTAACGCCACCTTTATGGAGCCAGTCATGGACGTGGAGAAGGTTCCCAAAACTCGCTGGAAACTGAGTTGCTATATCTGCAATCAGAAGATGGGCGCCTGCATCCAATGCAGCAACAAGTCTTGCTACCAAGCTTTCCACGTAACCTGTGCGCGGCGGTCGCGGCTGTTCCTTAAGATGAAAAACAGCCATGGGGCCCTCGCAGTTCTGGATAGTAACATGGTGCTGAAGGCTTTCTGCGATAGGCACTGCCCGGCAGATTATGCCAAAGACAACGGGGTAGCTCAGGCAGCGCGAGAAGCTAAGAAGTTCTACAAACGCGCAATGAAGGGCCGTATCTGGGCGGACAGCCAAGCAGCAGCTCATGCATTGGCTGCCAACCATCGCCATGCGCTGACGGAGCATCCACTCGACGAGAGCCAGATGACTGGAGCCAAATTCGCGTCCTTCGTGGGCGGAGACAAGAAGAAGGGGCAACCTGGGAAGCAAATTTGGAAGTTGCCTTCGGGTGCTCCTATCATTCCCCAGGCTGTTTTTGAGATTGTCGAGCAGGCACTATCTCGATTCCCGTTCCGTAAACGCAAGGACTTTGTCAGCGAGGCGTGCCGTTATTGGACGCTGAAGCGCGAGGCCCGTCGTGGCGCGGCGCTTCTCAAGCGTCTGCAGCTGCAAATGGAGACATTCTCATCAATGGAACTCACGAGGCGGAACTTTGCGCAAATGGGACCATCTGGAAAGTCTCGGCTTGTGCGACGCGTTGAGTTTGCAGAGACGTTGCTCAAGGACCTCTGGGAACTAAAACTCCTGTCGGAAAGCGTTGTGCAAAGAGAACAAGAGAAACTCGACGCTGCAGAGCTCGAGCAAGAGTTTGTGGACACATGCTATTTCCCGATTGCTAAGCTTTTCGTGCCGGTTGTCGAGAAGGCGATATTGTTAGTTCACCCACCTGCCACGTCAACATGGTTTGCTGACCACGATTCCAGCCTCGACAAGAACATTTTCAAAGACGGCCTTTTGGAGCTTCAGGAGAAGCTCGAGCGCCGGTTCTACACAAACACCCTCGTCTTCACTCATGATCTTTGTGAAGTAATCAACGTCGGCATCAATACAGAGCCTCCACATACCGAGAGCGCCTCCCAGGGTGGCGCTCTCTCACCTGTCAAGCAAAACTTCAACGACCCACGACAAAGAAAGGCGCTCGGGAAGCGAATACTAAAAGCCGTCCAACCCCAGCTTGAGACGGCTCTGAAAACTGAAGCCGAGATCACACACAAGCCCTACGACACTCTTGCCAAAGAGTTTGAGGGCATGCTCGAGGCCAGCATCGAGTTCCGACAGCCATCGATCATAGTCTCGCATACGGAGGAGAGCACCGAGCCCAGCCAGGATACCATTATGGTGGACGCTGCCAATGAGCAGATTACTGTGGCCAACAATGATGATGCACAGGCCGAAGAAGAACCGGCCGCTGCTGGTGACGAAATGGATGTGGATGCCGAAGGAGAGGACGACGATGAAGGCAATATAGAAGTCAACACATCGACTCTCGGAAACCCCAGCGAAGTACATTCGTCCAGCTCCTCGGTTGCGGGCCACGAGGGCAACGGCAAGGCAGCGGTGAAGACGGAAGGTTCACTAGCGTCTACCATGCAACCCTCAGACACACCGCCCGAAACCAACGGCTATGTCACGGTCAGCAGGCCGGCGCAACCGGCGCCACCAACACCTCCGCAATCCAACGGCAGCCTGGGCAACGAGTCCACAGACCCGCTGTCCGAAGGTGGTGTGCCCTGGTACTTTACTGACTTCAAGCCCAAGGGCACCACCATCATCGAGGAGCAGTGGACGGGTCGTGAAGCTCTTCGCAGTCTCAGCGAGGATCTCACCGACATGGACGACCAAGAGCTCGAAGGCCTCGCCTTCGACGTTGAAGATAGCACAATCACGGCGTCGCCTACCGTCAACGACGAGGTCGCTGTCGACACGATCGTCAGCAAGGCCAAGTCTAACAGCAAAGTGCGCAAACGGACGAGCGCCCGGGCATCGGCCAGGAGGAGATGAGCCGCCCCCATCGTAGAAGCGACGACACATGTGTGACGAACTTGTGCCTTTTCAAACGAAATTGTATTTGTACGAAGGGCGCCCCTCCCGGAATACCTGTTTATTCTTGTTTCTTGTTTCTCATTCTCCAACCTCGCCGCGTCATGATTCCCTCTGACTTACCTTACAACCGTTTCTCCTTCTTCTTCTTCTTCTTCCTCCTCCACCTCTTCTTCTTAACCTTTAACTACCACGCGTCTACTATAGCGACCACCCCCTGCTTCTACTACTTTAAGCTCTTCTTTCTTCTTTGCGATTTTGAATGGTCAAGACCAGGCGTTTACCAGGATCGATAGGGAGGGGACCCACCCTAAATCATGGCTTTAAGGGCGTTTCGGGAAACAGGGGGATAGGGAGTGATTGTGAAAGGTATAGCCAAACACAACGGAGGTTATATTCTAGCTAGTCCATTGGTACTATAGCTACGGCAACGAACAAGGGCTGCTTTGCGTAATTTCCCTGACTTTGTATGCCCCCAAAGAAATTATGCTCTTTGCTTATTCCATCTCCTGAGGCTCTGTCTCTCTCCCTCTGTTATCTCCCCGGAACGCACGGGGAAGTTGCAGGCGTTTCTGCGATTGATACAAAGACGACGCAAAGAGTTCAGAGCCCCGAATATGCGTGCGCGCACACAAAGTATATACAATATCCCAGTTGTCCCGTCAGCCTTATGGTCGTGTCGACCCAGTCCGGTTGGCGCGAGTTGATGTATGTGTGTGAGAGCATTGTCCATGTTAGCGGCAATATTGGGTTTTTTTCTTTCTTTTTTTTCCCCTTTTAAAGCAACCGCGATGACGACCGAGTGGGCAACCCCCCTTCTGAGGATATGCCTGAGGGCCCTCCCATTCGTGGCTAGCCGGATTCAGCACCCTGGGCTGAAGGGGGGGGCATCGACGACGTCGAGTCAAGAAACGACGTCAAGATGGGTCAATTGAAACTTGAGACCGTCGAGCAACATGTTTTTTTGAGCTGTACATATGTGAGAGAGAGAGAGAGCGCATGACAAGGCTTTTGCGGAGGGTCTGTTCTTGCTAGGCGCACTTCCTCTCATGGAGGGGCACTAAAAATGCGCTGCCACGTCGCTCAGTTTGTCATGGGGGGGGGAGCACCCTTTGAGCCGATGCCGACCAACGCCATCTGAATATGTTGGTAATCGAGCGGGACGTCGCGGGGCAGTCATGTGATGTGACCCCTCCAGAGGGTGGAAAATGGGAATGCGATTGCCTTTTCTGTCGACAGTGTCTTATTGCACGCTCACCGGTCGGCTATGGCAAATACATTATAATCCAGCTGCCCAGTGGGGGGAGGGGGAAGCATCGGTTTGGCTGGGGGCGGAAGGTCAGGGTTCCACCCGATCTACAAACATCGGCGCCAATTGGATCTTCGAGCACCCAAAGAGCTGATGTACGTACATCGTACGCTTGTATCTGCGCCACTTCTTCCCGGGGCCCCCTCCTTCTCTCCCAGTCGGCTGAGAGCGACGCTGTCATGACGGTTTTCGGGCGGAAGGAGGGGGTGCAAACCAGGCCACAATACGCTTCGGTGCCAGCCGATGGGCACAGCGGAATGAAGAGTCGGGAGTTGAGTGGGCGGAGATGGAGCGAGAGAAGGCAGTGATTACCAAGGAAGTTTGCGCTGCATGACATGACCCTCCCTGTACGTCGACCGTCGACGCAGGCTGACTGCCAGGCAGACACAGGCATATGACTGACGTAATCGACCTCTTTTTCCCTATTGGCCGTCAACTCAGTTGCCGAATCTCCCGCAACTGGCGTCTGTCTCTGGACCGTCCATTCGGTTCTTGGATTTCCGAGCCGGCTGCGCGGAAGTCTAGGCCCCCGCCCCTGACTGGAGGAGAAAGGGAATGGGACGTCCCGAACATTATAAAGGATCGGTCAGTTATCTTGGATTGCTGCGAGGCTGTCTGTTCCCATCGTTGACTGGACAGACAGGATTTGCTCCACAGGCGATGCCCCCTCCTGGTCAGCGACCGTGCAAAGCCTCGCCCTGACCGCCCCAAGTCGCGGTTGTCGAAACACAGAGCGCATCGATGGCTATGATTCGAAGCCGCCGTCAGTCTTTGATTGCAACTAAGTGCTAAGTATCTTCTCCCGACGAGGGGACGAATAGGCATCGAGCCGGCGAACAGGATGGGTGTGGGCTGGCCCATCTTGGCACGTCGATGGCCCCCCGTCTGATCAGAATCCTGATGGACTGGCTTCCCCATTGTCCGCAACGACCCATCTGGCCAGGTTGCACACCGAATTATTTTGCCTCGTCTCGGGTGTTACATCGAACACCAGGCCGAACCCGTTGGATAGATTCTCACTTGGGATATGTTGTTGACGGGCAGTATAGCGAATCTTGCTACTGGTGGGTGGCTATTAGTAGTGTGTTTTTGCCAGCATTGCATTTTTCGCTGAGTCGGTCCGCGAAGTCATGAGTAAGCCATGGCATCTTCTTCCAAAGTCGGGCCTATCACCTAGCAGACCTAGAAGGTTTCTGAAGAACCCCGTTGAAGGACGGAGCCAGACGCGAGACGTGAATTTCGCGAGCAAAAAGAAGCGGAATGTCTTGCGTCGAAATGGCTTGTGGCCGTTCAGCTGATCTTAAAGCCAGTGCCCCCCCCCCTCCCCAATCCAAACTGGCCGTCGCAAGCGGGCAAGTTTGTGAAGAGACATTTATCATGATATTGATACGCCAGTAGAACACAAACAAGCGTGATGGAGGATTCGGGGTACTAGAGGTGGCCGAGAGCATGGACCAAGATGGTGTTCCTCATCGGCCAAGGCACGTATTGTTTGTTTCGAGAGCAATCCCCTCCTCTCCTTTAGGTTCCGGAAACATGAGATGCGGTCTGGTGCATGGCCGGGGAGCAGAAACACCGCAGCCACAGGCGTGAGAATTGATGCGCGAGTCGTTGTCTTGGGCTGCCACAGTGATAGAGTTCTCGTGCTAGAAACGTAAGACACGTACATGCACGCACACACTTACAGGCGGGCGCTGGTGACTACCTAGTCATTTTAGCTATATGGGGAGAGTGGCTTAGATGAATGCGGTGAAAGGTGGTCTCGGAGAATACTTTAATTTGGGGGCAGGCACCAAACAGACCGTCCGACGTGGCCGTCGTCGAAAATCTGATCCGGGGTCGGACCCTGATGATCATGGTGTTGTTTGTACGTAGCTGAGGGATGAGACTCCGGATCGCATAGACGTAGAAGGAATATGCCGAGGGGGGGCGGCAGCATGGATACGGCTGCTTCGGAAACACTTGGGAGGGTTCGCAAACAACACAACGGTGGTGGCGGCCAGCAACAGAATGCCGATATAGGACGGAGTCAGGTTTGGCGAGGTCCAACAAAGCCCGTGCCAAGTTGTCAGAAGCCAAAAAGCTTAAGAAGCCACTGTGCTAAGCCGAAGGAATGAAGGATAACAAGAGAGAGAGAGAGAGAGAGAGAGAGAGAGAGAGAGGCCGACTGGACAGTCAAGCAATGGGATTCTAGAGTGGCTTGTGGACAGGACGAAGGCTTGCTTGCATAAGGTAAAATGGTGAGAAAGCAGCAGCAGGAGTAGCAGTAGTATAGAAGGTGTAGTGCAATGATGAGCAAAACACTGGCCAAGGATCGCCGGCGCGTGGCTGCGAACTCGGCTTCAGGAGGCAATCTTATCTCTTCTCAGCCCAACGCCAATCTGCGAGGGCTGTACGCGAACAGGAATCTGGCTGCAAGGAAGGGGAGGAGGGGGGGTATGGTGTATTGTATTTGTAGAAGGAAACACTGCCAAACTTGAGCAAACAAGAATACCGGCAGCAACCAGGTGTGGGGACTAGTTAAGGCACGAACGATGACGGTGAATTTCCAACAACACGGGCAAGGGGGAGGCTGAGCCCGCGCGCGCAGTGTGGAAGCCGTCGTGATACAAGTTTAGCAACAGCTCCAGCGGCGGGTCCCCCGTCCGCAAGCCTCGCGCAGTGCGACGGTGCCGTCACGGCATGTCCAAGTCCCCTGTGGTCCGGTGGGTTTGTCATCTCTTCGAGACCCCGGAACGTGACATTTCCTACCCCAACCCGACGTCCACTCGACGGCCCACGGCCCACGGCCCAGTGCCCATGCACTAACTAGTCACTAGGAGTGTAGGCCCAAACCGAGAATCCCAATTGAAAAGGAGCCCCAAGCTTTCAGGCTCGCCGAGGTCCCCTGTGGCCAACCCTTGTTGCTGGGTCGTGGAACTTTTCCCAGTTGTTCCATAGGTGGGCGTTGCCCCAGACTAGCACTGGCAATCGCACCTGCGTGTCGAAATCTCCATGCTGGATTTGCCATTGCATTTCCTCGAAAGCAAAAAAGGGCGTTTTTTGTTTTGCAGTGCGACCAGCCCTTCCCCCCCTGGTTCCGTCAGTTGGGGTAGGTAGGTAGGTAGGTAGGTAGGTATCAGTAGCTAGCTAGCCCTACCCATTCAACCATTCAGCCATTATCTATTGTCTTTACTCCTGGCGTGCCTTCACCACCCAAACTTCATTCCTGAAGGTTAGTTGGTCTTGGGGAATTCGGTCGAGCGATAGGCGGCAATACCCAATGCCTACCTACATCGGTACCCAAGGTACAGGGCCAAGGCCCTCAGGTACAGTACCTACCATGTTAAGGTACCTACCTAGGCAGGGCAGGGAAGGCACGATCGCTGAGTGAAGGCACGTCTGCGGTTGACGGCAGGGCAGGCCACCCCCCCCCCCTGCTGCCGCAGCTACGCACGCCCAAGTCGCGCTTCCCATTCCTCCCGTCGCCGATAGAAACGTACCTGCCCAACCCGACGCTTCCTGACTGGTTGATGGGCTGATTACCGACCTCACCGGCTGGCTGGCGTGCTGGGACGTGGGAAACGGGAAGAGGCGCTTGCTGATGCGCTGATGCTAGTGTACGTACGTACGTACGTCCACCACCCACTGCACTCAGCGGCACGCTTCAAGAAGAGGACACCTTAGGGTGGGTGTGTTTTGGGTGGATTGGCTGCTGGCATCATCTCCAAGCCACGTTGGTTACCAACCCAGCAGCACGTACCTTGCGCGCAGTGCCTTGCTTTCCCTGCCTACGGTACCTTGGTCATCGTTTACTTCCCCCGTTACCGACCTGGGTAGCAATCCAGACAGGTCAAGACAGATAAGTAGAGACGGACGACGAGACGCGGAAGAGCGCGCAGCGGAGCACCAGCACCTCGCGCGAAAGAGGAAGGGGGGAGATCGAGACCGTTCACTGACCCCAATTTTTATTTTTTCTGCGCGTCCAGATCTCCTTGTGTACTTTTTTCTTCGTCCTTTTTTCTTTTTTTTCTTTTGCTCTCTCGCCCTTCGGCGTCTCCTCCCCATCCCTGACCCCAAGTACACGATCCTCGGCGTCTGCCTCGTTTCCTCTGTTCTCTGCTGCCTCCGGGAAACAGGCACTCTCTCTTTCTCTCTCTGCACCCCATACAGTGTAAAAGAAGAACGAGACCCTTTCGAGGAAAATTTTGCCTCTGGTGCATCTCGTTTCGCTTCCTCTTCTGCGTTTTTGGCTCTCAGGGAGCCCATAATATCTACACCACCCACACCCACCAGCGATCACTTAGTGCCCATAGCACTATCCCTCTTTAACCTACCCCCTGTAGTACGAGCGGCCCCCTCACGCCTCTCTTTCGCTCGCTCGCTCACACACCCACCCACCCACGTAGGCGCAGGCGCAGACGCAGAAAAGACCGATCCCTCCATCACTCTTCCCGGACTGGATTGGTCTGGTCCTGCTGCTCCTCTCTTGCCTTTCCGACCAAGCAGCCCGCCGCCGCCCAACACAAAACACGAAAATCCTCCTCCCCTCAAATCCACCCTCACCTCTCCTCCCACCCAAAGCCTCTTCCCCCCCACGAGGCCATACCTGATCCCAACGGCGACGATACGTCTAATCAAGACGACAACGCGATCCAGAGATTTTCATCTCTCAAAAACATTCAAAACAACGACGATCAATCAGTCACACGATCCACGCACCGCCATTCCCGGCTTTTGCGGCGACTACTGAAAAAGAAGAAGAAAAAACAAAAACAAAGGCGAAGCTATCAACACAGCGAGACGGCCCTTTTTCAGCGGCGATTTCCAACCCATACAGGCGAACTCGATCACGCACAGGGACGACGAAAATTTTCTTATCGACGACGCGAGACGCTACCACACAGTTTGGTCTGCGAACGTTCCCAAACAAGTCATCCATCTGTCGCCACTTTCTCTCCTCCAGGAAGAAAGGCCTACAAGAGCTGAGATCACTTCGCCGTAAGTCCCTTCCGCCGCCCTGTCTCGCTTGCGCTCTCCCCTCTCCTGCCTTCTTACCACATCGCCCATTTGGCCGCTTGCCTCCAAAAAAGCCCTCCCCTCGACAATTACACCTGGCTGCGTTGCGCCGTGCTGATTACGTGTTGCTCGCCGCAGATCCGAGAAGTGCATCACCCCCCAAATCTGGGCATCCTTTGCCTCCGGCCGTTGCAAAGCGTACACCCCTCTGGTACTCTTGCTTGCCGCAGTCGCGAACCACCTTCTCGGTATCAGCGGGCCATCTTTCTGGCTGGTGAGGATAAAAGATGGCGGACCAACATGAGGTCGACCTTGACTCGATAATCGATCGTCTCCTCGAGGTGCGAGGCAGCCGTCCTGGCAAACAAGTCCAGCTTCTCGAGGCTGAGATTCGCTACCTGTGCACCAAGGCTCGTGAGATCTTCATCTCCCAGCCCATCCTCCTTGAGCTCGAGGCCCCGATCAAGGTGAGTACGCTTTTTCCCATCTTCAGTGACCTGGTTTGGCCACTGTCTTCTCTTTGCTTCGTAGCACCCCCAGGTAGCACAGACCTGCTGACGCCGACCCCTCATTCAGATCTGCGGCGATATCCACGGACAATATTACGACCTGCTGCGTCTCTTCGAGTACGGCGGCTTCCCTCCTGAGGCCAACTACCTCTTCCTTGGTGACTACGTCGATCGTGGCAAGCAGTCCCTCGAGACCATCTGTCTGTTGCTGGCCTACAAGATCAAGTACCCCGAGAACTTCTTCATTCTTCGCGGCAACCACGAGTGTGCTTCCATCAACCGCATCTACGGTTTCTACGATGAGTGCAAGCGCCGCTACAACATTAAGCTATGGAAGACATTTACGGACTGCTTCAACTGCCTGCCCATTGCCGCCATCATTGACGAGAAAATCTTCACCATGCACGGTGGTCTTAGCCCTGATCTGAACTCCATGGAGCAGATTCGCCGCGTCATGCGACCTACCGACGTACGTTGTATCCTGTTTTCGTGGCCAAGCCTTGGCCTGGCTTGTCGTTGCTCTCAAAATACTGATGCGTCATATTCTGCAGATTCCTGACTGCGGTCTTCTCTGCGATCTTCTGTGGTCGGATCCTGACAAGGACATCACCGGCTGGAGCGAAAACGACAGAGGTGTTTCTTTTACCTTCGGTCCCGACGTTGTGTCTCGGTTCCTCCAGAAGCACGACATGGATCTGATCTGCCGCGCTCATCAAGTCGTGGAAGATGGTTACGAGTTCTTCTCCAAGCGTCAACTGGTTACTCTCTTTAGCGCACCAAACTACTGTGGAGAGTTCGACAATGCTGGAGCTATGATGAGCGTGGACGAGAGCTTGCTCTGCTCGTTCCAGGTGAGCCACATACGCTGAAACTCCGGTCCGTTTGGTCGCATTGCTCATCTCTCTCGCCCTCACAGATTCTGAAACCCGCTGAGAAGAAACAAAAGTACGTTCCTGGTGTTCTCGGAGGCAACAGCCGACCAGTCACTTCTCCCCGAAAACCCGCTTCCAAGTGATTCTGAAGAGTTTATGCGAACATACCCGTCTTTCTAGGTTCGGCCGTCGTTAATTGCCTCTCCGCCCATCTTGACCATACGACCTTTTTGTCCATCGACGCGGGTCTCTGGTCCCCGCCTCCGTCCTCCCGCATTATGGAATCCTCATGGGGCCCCCCTCCGTCAACCCTCCACCCTGTCCGATTCTGCTCAAGCCCACCCATCCGACCATAAACCGTGCGACCTGTTCACGATTACGGCTTTCTGGTAGCTGAAGATAAAACACAAAAAAACTGGAATTTGCAATGGCTACCACAACGTTTCTCGTGTCTCTGTGCGAAACCCCGAGGTGGACATGAACTCGCCTGGGGTCTAATAATGAGTGATTTACACGCAATAACGCCCCAGAGCAGAGCCAACGCGACGTTCTGCAAGTCGACTTTTGTCCTCACCGGCCACCAGCATGAGCAGGCACCGCTGCCAGACTGTTTCTCAGCTAGTCGGTTTACGTGCCAACAACTGGCTGTCTATGGCGGTCACAGTGACATGGGCGATGGCCACTCACTCTGTCTCAGCTACAGGTTCTCGTCTTCGCGTCTCAGACTGGGGACCGTTGCATTGCCGTCCCTGACGCCGTCCTTCGGCTCCAGTACAGTAGCACCTGTATGACTATAATTTCACTCGGAACACGGGGGACCAAGGCGGGGATGGGATTGGTATTCTGTTGTCAAGGGATAGGATTCCATCGTTTGGGCAACCAGAACCCGCTTTTCTCAGGGGGAAGAAATGGTTTCGGACCGCTACTAGAACTTCTTCTCCTTGTCTTTTTGCTTGTACTTTTCCACCACTTGTTTCCATTTTCTCTCTCTAGGCATCTATCTGGTCGGTCAACAGCGGAGGTGGGTACCGAGACATCAAGTTCGGGGATCGCCATTTGGGTGATCCCGGGATGGGAGGGTCTGACGTCCTGGCCCAAGTCTGTGGTCTCTGTACACTCGAGGCATGAAGCGTGTATTTTTTCTTCCGTCGCGGCTAAGTCTGATCAGGGTCCACATTTGGGTGCCGCGCAACAGGATGATACTACGGCTAGTGATGCCAATGCAAAGCCTACACTTTCGATCGCCCCCCTTCCCTGTGATGGACCATTGCGTAACGTGTGAATCAATCAAGGGAATTTTTGTTTCGGGCACGACATTCGCTAACCGCCCAAGCCTGGCTACCTTGCTTGGTTCGAGCTAAAGCCGCGGTCTCGGCAACGCTCCACGAGGCACGCATCCCTCTGGCCGTCCAATTAGACCATTGGTGGCGTGGGCGTCCCGTCCGCCGCCGCCGACAGCCCACATTCCAGCCGTCTGCTGTCTTTCGCCGCCCCTTCCCCCCTACCGACAGTCGCTGGACGACGAGAGGGCGAGGAATGCTCTCACTCAACTCCTCGCCCGTCTAATACTGTTACTTTTGGTCTCCTCAGACGGCACGCTTACAGTGGTGGTTTACATAGCTCAATCACAGTCCTCGCACTTCTTGCTGAGCTTGGCCGACGACTCGTCATACTTCTCCACCGGCAACTGGCCCGCGGGCGTGATCTCGGCTTTGGCCTTCTGCCCCGTGTTGGCGCGGGCGGCGCTGATGGCATCGCGGGCCTCGTCACTGAGGGTGGTGCCCTGCTCCTCTCCGCTAGCGGGGCCGGGGGCCTTAATTGCATTGGCGGGGTGCTTCTTTAGCTGGGAGACGACGTCCGAGGCGGACGGGGCGGCGGAGGGGGCCATTGTCGGCGCAGCTGCTGCCGCGTCCGAGGCTTGGGTGTCGGAGACTGTTGCCGTGCCTGCGGCCGGCTTCGCGTGCTTACGGTCGACGTGGCCGAGGTCCCTGTCGGGCTGGATGACGTCTCGGAGGCGGCGCTTGAGCTCCTTGGTCTCCGGGAAGCCCCCTTCGGTCTTGCGGTCCCAGAGGACCGTGGTCGAGGTCGTTTCGGCGCCGGCGGGGAGGTGAGTGAGGGTAACGACAAAGGTACCGCCTGTCGAGGGCTGGAGAGCAACCTCGCCAATGGAGGTTGAGAATGTCGAGAGCAGCTCCTGGGCAAACTGGGAGTTGAAGGTGGTATGTTAGCGGGACCAGAGCTTCAAGACGATGCAGCAGAATGAGGGAAGTAACGGAAGAGTGAAATGATGATTTGGTTGGGTGATGTAGATCGCGACGATGGGAGGCTAACAGGCCAAGAAGACGAGAGGTGGCTCAGAGGCGCCGGGGTTGTGTCAGAAGGATGAGGTCACCTCAAGTCAACCATCCACGTAAGGTATATGGATGGTGACGCGCGTATGGGTGGCGCCAATCAAGAGGGAAAGACAGAACCGGCAGGGTGCTTTTGGGGCTGGACTTACATATGCCGCGCGGAGCATCCACTTACACTGAGTGCAGAACTGGATGGCGACGCGGGGCAGCAGCGTCGGTGTAGAGGCCGACGTTGTTGGCTCGGCCATTATCAGGTACCAAAATAGGTGACTATTCCGCTCAGACGGGGGCGTGAACAGGAGAGTCAAGTCGGCGAGATACTGACTAGTCCCCTGGCGTCGGGTGGTTGCTGAATCACTCGCTCGAATGGATAAACCCGATTGTGTGCGCCCGTTGACGTGAGGAGTCGGCTCCCAGAGAGAGAGATTGTACACCAACAGTAAGTTCCGTAATTGTTTACACCCAGAAACAAGCGGACAAGCTTTATCGAGGAATGATAGATGAGCCACTTTCCTCACAAGATTGTCGATGCTCAAATGCCCGCGCTACACGCCTATGATTGATTGTGGAACAGGTCCACGACGACTGCATGACGGTATGGAATGGGGGGGAATCGCGCCTCACATAGGTCGTCCTGCGTCATCGGCGTCGCTGGCGGGACGTGAGGGGTGGTGGGAGGTCGCAAGGTAGGAGTGCAATGCGGCGGAGAGTCGGCCAATCAGGAAGCAGAAGGGAAGGGGGGGAGGGTAAAAGCCACTCAGCTGACAAAGAAAACAAAGCGCCGGCGGAGGGAAAGACCGGAAACAGAGGCCAAACACTTGTATCGTTCAATATAGTTGTGTTGCAGATTTTGCCAGCCGGCAGCTTCAGATTTCAGCTGGCGGTCCTCTCGGCCCATCCCTCGGCCGGAAGCGTTCTCCCCCGGCAGCCCCCTTTCCCCAGCCCGTCGGGAGGAAGGAATGCAAGAAAAAAAAAAAAAAGAAAAAAAAAAGCCGGGCCCACAGAGCAAAGACACACCCCGGCTCAGAGATGGCAGCATGTGGCCCCAACACCCTGCAGCAATTCAGGTACGGGTGGAGCCACGGAAAAGAAGTGAATGAAAGACCAGGGGGCCGGCAGAAGGATGGTACCTACGATGTCGAAGCCAGAAGACTGGTGTGCCGTCGCTGGAATGTACGCACTGTCGAAAAGCACCGAATGAATCGCACAGTGGGCTGGCTCGTTTTTTAGGTAGCAGAACAATCGCATCCATTGCGATGCTCATCTATGGTCAATTGAGGGCGGGGACGGCAGCTGGCCAAAGGAGACGAATACCAGGGAAACGGATCCCCCGTCCGGGCGACAACGTCGGACGGGAGACTCAACGAGACTCGCGGTGTAGGTAGGGTAGGTAGCAGCGGGGGAGGGGGGATGAATAGGTTGTACGAGTAAGAGAAGAATTGAAAGCGACTCTGCTCCGTATCGTATCGAGTAGTGGCCCGGCGGAGTTGCAGTTGGGAAAGGGCAGGTAGCAAACAACGTAGCAAACAACAAACCCGCAACCCGCCCGATGTACCCCTGACGGAAATGAAATCGTCCTCTTTATGGCTTGAACGCCATCCATCCTGCCGGTCCCCGCGCATTCCCTCCTCCCTTCTCTCTCTCTCTTTCTCTGCTCCCGGTTTGGTTGACGCAAATGGAATCGGCCAATAAGAAGAACAGCGAAGAGAAAGAGAGAGAGACGTGAAGAAGGCTGCGCCTGGCTCGGATTCCCCCCTCATTTAAGAAATAGAGCAACCCTAAAGAAAGATGCCACACTGTCCAATATGCCAGTGAGATTTAATATACGCGCAAATTGACTTGTAGAGCCCGTGGTCATTTCCTTGCCTTCCTATTTATTTATTTATTAGCTTTCAGTCCCCAACCCCCCAGGCTGCCACTCGATTAGCGATGGGCTGATGTCTCTGATTTCTATGCTTCCTGTGTCTGGGTTGAGTTGCATCTTTGCGGTCGTGGCCGAGGGGCGTCGGCTTCGCCCTTCAACCCGAACATGTTTATATTTCTGTCTGTCTGCCAGCCAAGCCTCCGACCCCGCTAATACGGCCATTGGTTGGCCGAAATGACCTGTTATAGTATCACCGCTGGTCTGAGTGATTTTGTTGTCCCACGAGCGCAACGCGGGGGGTGACAGGCATGGGAAGGGGTTATTTTTTTCCTTTTCCTTTTGGAGATCTACCCTAGGAAACCCTAATTCTTCCAGCATTCCAATATGATGCAGCATTGTTTGTCGATAATTGTAATGATCGCTGGTTCCAATCAAGATGCAATGTCCAACCAGCTCGGGCGGTAACAAGCACCCGTTGTTCATTCTAGCGAGACAATGTGATTGACTGATTGAGGCTATTCACACACTCGGTGCGAGACATAACAGGAAAAGGGGGGAAGCAAACGAGACAGGCCCAAGAAAGAGAAACAATGAGTACAGGACATCAAAATAATTATTACATGCTGAAGAGCTGCCCGCCAAAACGTTCTGCCTCCCCGATGACTTCCTCCTCTCCAATGACAACAGAAAAAAAAAGCAGCATAGAAGCATTATCGTAGCGGGGACCGTTGCCTCTTCACTCTTCGGCTCCTCCCCTCGCTTCCTCTTTCCTCCATCCATCTCCTCATCGAGCTTGTTCGTCTCTAAATATTACTGACCCGTATGTCGCTACCCGTGCCGTTTCGTCTTGATCCATCGAGGGGGACAGAAAAATGTTTCTTGGCTGGCAATATAGGTCCTTTCCCCCCCATTCTCAATCGTTGGGAAACATTTTGTGGCCTTCCTCTTCGGCTCCGCGCTGGTCTAGGACTTTTGGATTCCGTCGATTTCACGACCGAGTAATAATGATGAAAACACCCTCTTTTTCCCATTGTGCGAGATGGGGGCCGGCTCGCTGTTTCAAGAGGAGGTTTTGCTGCGTTCCCGATGGCTCTCGGGGGTTTGGTATCCCACGCGATAAACAAAATTAAATGACAATGCGATCGAAGGGGGTCACGGCTGTTCGGATGCCGACATCGCTAACACTTGATAACCGTTGCTCTACATCACCACACAGCATCCGCCGCTTTGTTGTGGTGCATAAGGATCTTCGCCGCGGGGAACGGCGCCCCAAACCGATGGAACCATGTAGTCCCTCGTGCTGTTACAGTAGGCAATGATGCTAGTAGAAAATGAATCAGTCCCTGCTTCATCCGGTCGCGATCGCCCGATGAGTCAATTGATGGCACATTGACACGATCTTGATAGGTGGTGTTGATGATGAATAGAAGAAAAAAAAGAAAAAAAAGCTCACCTCTTAGAAGCATTGCTCACAGGGATGCGTTCCCTTTCAAGATCCTCGCGCAGACGGTTGTTGAGTTCGGTCAATCGCCTCAACTTGAGATCGGCCATCGATTGCTTGTTTTTCTTGATCTGCGACGGGTCGCCGACATCGCGCGAGGTGTATTGAGGCATTGTAGCCGTGGTTCGTGGAGCTGGAGACTTGGACGACGGGGGGGTCGAAGACGACGTGGCGGCAACAGAGGCGTCGGCTGGTTGTCGTCGTGATTGTTTGTCGTCGGAAAGAGGCTGATGAGCGTGATCCTGCCGCTGTCGAGAAGAGGAAGAAGAGGCTGCGGTGGTGGTGGTGGCGGCGGCGGCGGCTGCTGCAACAGAGGATTCGGCGGCGGCGGTGGTGTTGTTGGAAGAACGGTCCTGCTGAGAGAGCATATCGTGTCAGTTTAATTAGAGTTTCCTCCTTTGACTCCGCTTTGGCGGTGGTTATCGCGATTTCCCACCACCCCGTGGTACGAGCACAATCCAGGGTGGGAGATGGCCGGAATTAAATGGACAGTCGAGGGGGGCAAAAGACTAACAGCTCTGAGACGGCGTTGGGGATTGAGATAATGACCAAGGCCGGTTTCGATCGAAGCAAATCGACAAAGAAAAGAGCGTCGGGGGGTGATTGGATTTGGGGGGGGAGGAGATTACCAGCGTCGAGATGGGTAGGTTGGTTGCTCGGATAATGGTTTTGGTTTTGGGAAAGCAAAGCAAAGGAGAGGACGGGACGGACGACGGGTGACGGGGAGGACGAGGGAAAGGTCAGGAGAGTGGTCCAGCAGTTGGGGAACAGTACAGACAGAGAGGGACCGGGGACTGGGATTGGATTGGATTGGATTGAATTGCGGAGCGTGGGAAGGTTCCCCTAACGTGAACGGAAAGAGGTCAATGGTTGCAAGGTTACCTCTCGCGCTAGGGCCACGAGGCGCACCATGGAACCAATAACTGCTCCATCCCCTCCGACAATGTAGGTACCTACATGGCGGCCCGCAGAGCACCTGCACGGCATGCACGTAGCGAAGCGAAGCGAGAGTCTGTGCCAGCTGTCGGCGGGCTGGACTGCCAACCTCATCATGCATGTAAGCTGCTGCTCGCTTGCTTGTCTGCCGTGCTCGTTACTGGTCTAGCCGGGTCTCAACCCCCACAAAAACAATGTAGGTACCAGGCCTACTGTGTGTTGCAGTGTACCTGATAGCGCGTCACCTGTGGTGGGCGGTATGTAAACACTCAATCAGGTAGTACCTGCTTTCACGAGTGGTCCGCCGGGGATGTTCATTGTGGTTCCAATCACATCTCCGAGAAGGTAATTTTGAGAGGGTGATGTTCTGCACGGACACATCCAGCGTTGGACAGCTTTGGCGGGATTGGTAGACTGGCCGCGAAGGGGGGGGGGGGGGGGGCAATGTGCCAGAATTAAATTTCCCTTTAGTTGGTTACCTAGCAAGGAATACACTTACACGCACCACGATACGCAATATCTTGAGCAGAGGTCGATTGCAATATGTCGTTTTGATACCAAGCGTCCACAAACATTACGTACTTTGGACATCATGAGCCGAACACCGTCGGCAACTCAAATTTTCCTTCCAGAACGCCGTACAAGACGCGCCACCTCGATCTGACTTTGGCTCAGCGCAGCCAACTTTGTGTTCGATGAATCTACACCCTTCGTACGGCATTCCATATCCGGCTAGTTTCGATACCGGAGCCAATAGACGCCCTAAGCAGACTGTTCCTGAGGGTTGTTGTATGATAAAGCATCAATAGGAGTTTGGGGATCGAGACATGCCGCGGAACTCTCAGCGCCAAGTGACGCATTCAGCCAGTCTGACAACCCTCCCATCTCGGCCAGACAAAGAACGCAGTGCTACCTAATCGAATGGAGAAGCCCAAGGGGACAATGGCTGTAGCTAATAGGCATAATGGACCGACCGATTAGATGCCGGGCCTTTCCTGGTTTGGTCCAGCCTGCGGACACAACACTCACGACTACTCCTGCCGTGCAGCATCAACTGGTCTGGTCTGGTCTGGGGAAGCAAAACTGGCACACTCTTCCACAAATGTATAAATCACCCCCTCAAATTTAGGGCCAAAATCTAGATCCAATCGGCCTCTTCAGTTTGCTGGTTTACCGAGGAGTGTGTGAAGTTGCAGACTGCCGCGGGCTGTGCAGGAGGGGGGGGCGGGGGGCATAGGAGGTTCCGAAAGTAAGTTGGTAGAGTTCTTGAAGACAAGTCTATCAGGGCTGGCAAATCGAGGTACAGATCGTAAACGGGCCACCCCACCGAACGGACGAAGGTTATGGGAGACGACGCGCAACTTGAAGGCAATCTGTGCCCGATTTGATTATATTCCTGATCACTAGTTGACGACCAGGCGTTGATCACGTCAATAGTTCTGTTATCCGACCCCGATGCCGGTACCAGCTTCCAATCGTTTTGCTCATCTATACTGCGTAAATTCACACATATGGGGGCTTGTCGGAGTGAACCTCCAAACCTTAAGCCTAGGGGAACAAGCCCATACCTCGAGAGTCAGCCTTGGCTGACATAATCGTGCTATCACGTGACATTCGTTTCGCACCATGCACGGACGGACACTCGAGCCCCTCAGGACTCGCATAGCGGCCACACACGAAATTGAAAAATTCCTCCGGCTGAGATCCGCCTCTATTCAGCAACGCCAAACGCACCTCGAGCGACAGCCAAGTCAATATCCCGCTCGCACCCAAAGGCTTGCGCTCGCAACTACTCACACCAGAGACCCTCTCGAGAATACTATTTTCCCGCAGAGGAGGTTGCCCATCATGGTGAGTCCTGCCTTGCCCTCTGGGTCCCTCTCGACCTGACGCCTAAGATTTCTCCGCCCGATTTTGACGCTACCCCTCTCTGATCTGACTGCCACGAGGCATCATCTTTGCTTCCAATGGCGACAGATAACGGTACTGACAACATACTATAGCCTCCTCCACCCCATCAAAAACCCGAAAATGTCCTGAAGCGCGCCCACGAGCTCATCGGCGTCAACCAGGTTCCGGCTGCGCTGACCCTCCTCCACGAGCACATCACCTCGAAGAGAAGCCGAAATGTTCCCATCGCGTCGTTGGAGCCGGTTATGCTCCTGTTGGTTGAGCTCTCTGTCGAGCAAAAGAAGGGAAAGCTGGCCAAGGATGCCCTGTACCAATACAAGAACATCAGTCAGAACACCAACGTCGCCACCATTGAGGTAGGCCATTTGATTGTCGTGAATCTTAGTTAGGGCAAATGTCGCTAACAGGGCCACGTATAGTTGGTCCTCAAGAAGTTTATCGAGCTGGCTGCCGAGAAGGTTACCGCCGCTCAGGCCAAGGCCGATGAGGTCCAGTCCAGCATCGAGGCCAACACCTCCACTGCCAACATCGACGACCTGGAGGCTAGCGAGACCCCGGAGTCTATCCTTCTCGCCACCGTCTCCGGCGAGCAGTCCCGCGATCGTACCGACCGTGCCATCGTCACCCCGTGGCTCAAGTTTCTCTGGGAGGCCTACCGTACCGTTCTCGACATTCTCCGCAACAATGCCCGTCTCGAGGTCCTCTACCAGAGCACGGCCATGCAGGCCTTCGACTTCTGCTTGAAGTACACCAGAAAGACTGAGTTCCGTAGACTTTGCGAGCTGCTCCGCAACCACGTCCAGACGGCCGCCAAGTACTCAGCCCAGATGCACGCCATCAACCTGAGCGATCCCGACACCCTGCAGCGTCACCTGGAGACTCGTTTCCAGCAGCTTAACGTTGCTGTTGAGCTCGAGCTCTGGCAGGAGGCTTTCCGCTCAGTTGAGGATATCCACACCCTCCTCAACCTCAGCAAGCGCCCTCCCAAGAACATTATGATGGCCAACTACTACGAGAAGCTCACCCGTATCTTCCTCGTTGGCGAGAACTACCTCTTCCACGCCGCCGCCTGGTCCAGATACTACACCCTCCTGCGCCAGTCCGCTGTCGTCGTCGCCAGCGGACAGGGTAAGAAGGCCGACAACCCCCCGGCTACCGAGAGCGACCTCCAAAAGGCCGCCTCGTTCGTGCTGTTGTCCGCTCTCGCCATTCCCGTCATTAGCACCACCCGCTCCCGCGGTGCCATGGTCGACTTTGATGAGTCGAGGAAGAACAAGAACGCTCGGCTTACCCACCTTCTCGGCATGAGCCAAGCCCCTACTCGTGCTGGCCTCTTCCGTGACGCTCTTGCTAAGCAGATGCTGAAGCGTGCTCGTCCCGAAATCCGCGACCTCTACAACATCCTCGAGGTCGACTTCCACCCCCTCTCCATCTGCCAGAAGATCTCTCCCATCCTGACCAAGATCGGTGCCGACGCCGAGATGGAGAAGTACATTCTGCCCCTGCAGCAGGTTATCCTTACCAGACTCTTTCAACAGTTGTCCCAGGTGTACGAGACTGTCGACCTGGGCTTCGTTGAGCGTCTGGCCCAGTTCCCCGAACCCTTTCAAGTTACTCGTGGCACCATTGAGAAGTTCATTATGAACGGTAATAAGAAGGGTGATCTCGCCATTCGTATGGACCACGCCACCGGTGTCCTCAGCTTCGATAACGATGTCTTTTCTTCCGCCAAGGCTGCTCACGCTGGGGCCGCTGCTGGTTCCGCTGAGGCCGACGGTAGCTCCGTCCAGCGTCTCCAGAGCACCCCATCCGAGATTGTTCGCTCTCAACTGACTCGTCTTGTCAAGTCTCTCCACACCACTTGCTTCTACATCGACCCCAGCTACAACCAGTCTCTTGTGGCCGCTAGGGAAGCTGCCCTGGAGCGTGCTCGTGCTGGTGCCGAGCAGGAGCACCACGCTATCCTTGCCAGGAAGGATATTATCCAGAAACGCAAGGAGGAGGCTTCCGAGGCCCAGGCCCGCAAGGAGAGAGAGAACGCCCGTCAGAAGCGTCTCCGTGAGCAACTGCTCCAGGAGGCCGAGGACAAGCGCCTTGCTGCTGAACAGAAGGAGCGTGAGGAAAAGCGCATGAAGGCTGAACGTGACCGCGTCCGTAAGGAGGAGCTCAAGAAGCAGATTGCCGACCTCAAGATTGGTACCAAGACCATCGACTTGGACTTGGAGAACCTCGACAACCTCGACTCGGGCGCCATCCACGCAATCAAGCTGGAGCAGCTCAAGCGTGAGAAGAACGACGTCAACGAGAAGCTCCGCATTGTCTGGAAGCGTATTGACCACTTGGAGCGTGCGTTCAGAAAGGAGGAGTCCAAGAAGCTCGGCGAGGACTACCAGAAGCAAATCGAGAAGGACCGCGCTACGTACGAGGCTGTCAAGGCCCAGACGCTGAAGGAGGCCGAGATCAAGCACAAGGAGAGCGTCGAGCTGAAGCACCGCCTTACCCGTCTCATGCCCGAGTACGAGTCATTCCGCGCTAACCTCCACGAGCGTCGCCGCGATGAGTTCGAGAAGCGCCGTAGAGATGCCGAGAGAGAGCTTGAGAAGCAGATCGCTGCCCGCAAGAAGGAGTACCGCGAGCGCAAGCTCCGCGAGAAGCGCGAGCGCGAGGAGCAGGAGAGAGTCCTGCGCGAGGCCGAGGAGCGTGCCGCTAGGGAGAAGGAGGAACAAGAGCAGCGTGCCGAGGCCAAGCGGGCCGAGTTGCAGCGCCTCAAGGAGCAGCGCGAGAAGGAGCGCCAGGAAGGCCTGGAGAAGGCCGCTCTCCAGGCGAGACGCGAGGAGGAGGCCCTGGCCCGTCGCAAGGCCGAAAGAGAAGCCCAGCGGACGGCACCACTTTCCCGTGTGCCCGAGCGTACCGCCGAACCCTCCAGCTCCGAGGGTCGTCGCCCGCTCAACCTGCCCGGCGCCGGCAAGTGGCGCGAGCGCGAGGCCGCTGCCAAGTCTACCTCCCCCGCCAACGCAGACTCGGCTCCGCCCGCTCGCGCACCCCCTGCTCGCGCCGTTCCGGCGGAGCGTACCGAATCCGGCGACCGCCCCAGTGCCGGTGGCCCGCCCCGCCTCAACCTTGCCGGCAACAAGCCCAGCTGGCGTGATCGTGAGGCCGCTAAGGCCGCGGCTGGCGGTGCCAGCGACAGCGCGCCTCCGCCCCGCACTGCCTCCGGCGGCGCTTCCCTTAACCGGGGTGGCTCCGGTCGTGACGACCGCGAGAACGGTCGCCCCGAGCGGACCGCCTCGCCCGCCACGCCGGCGGAGCCCCTCAAGCCGTCGGGCGCCCCTGGCAAGTGGGTTCCCCGTCACCTCCGCGACAAGGCTTAAATGTCTCGAGGGACAAGGTCTTTTGTCATGGGAAATGGGAGAACGAAGAGTGGTTACTGCAGTCTGCATCGGCGTTCTAGGTTAGGCAGGAAGTTGTTTTAAAAAGGATGTACTCTAGAGCCCCCCAACGAGGATGGTCTCCCTCCTTACAGAGGGGGGAGCTGGAATGGAAGTAACAGATGGCCTTTAATCGTCATGAGGACGGGGGTGAAACGTGACATGACTTTTTAGCATAGCTTCTTGCTGGAATTCAATTTTCTTGCACTTATACTCAAGAAGCCTCTTTTCTTTTTTTGGTTTGCTCTTTCAAAGCGACCCTATGCCTGTGGGGAGGCCGCTTGAGAACGGAATTCAATTGTCGTGACCTAGCCAAGACTGTGGGCACCTACCCTTTGAGCCGCGTGAAGGTAGGGCGTCTTGCTTTTGACTGCCATTGTGATAGGTGAGGGCATCGGGCGGGTACTGGTTACTCCCGGCTGCCTCTTGGCAATGACGGCGCAGGAGGGCGTATGTCGCCAAGCCGTGACAGTCAAGTAGAGGGGGAGGTGGTGGCTAGGAGTATTTCTGATAGCCTCGTCAGGGGAGAGCGATTCACATTCGGGGGGTTGCCCGAACCCCGAGCCGAACATCATGAACGTTTGAGCAGACAGGAGACACTAGGTAGATAGATGCCCGACTCAGGTATGCCAAGAAGAACGTCGCCGGCCTGACAGGTCCAGGCCTCCAGCCCCGCTCGGACCTAGCGAAAGGCTATCGCATTTGCATGTTCAGGTTAAGCTTAGGAAGAGGGTTTGCTGGCAGTTGGCCGAGTCCTATTAAGCTTCATTTGCCTAGACCTCTTCTATACGAGATCAGGTAGAACCATGTTAGCATAAGGGGGGATGGCGTGGTTGTCAGCAGCATCGGGATCGACGCTTAGATTAATTAAAACAAGCCTGAACTTGAGTGGCTTGGGTGCTAGTGTAATGGCCGAGCACTGGTCAGAGCGCCACGAGTGCGGCCCCACTGACGAAGTGCTTAGCTCTTTGTAGTGTAAACGGGCGTCGCTCGGTGACGGGCGGTCAGACACAGCAACTCACGTAATTTTCTTGAGAGAGGGGTCAACAGTGGCGTTTTCTCAGGTATGTGTGGCCCATTTGCATTGATCTGGGGCGATGCCATGGACGGGGACGGAGGCGCAGCTTTCTCTGTCGAGTCGTCGTTGGCAGGAGCCGCAAGAGATTCGACAAGCTTCTTGTATGCACAAAGGGACCGTTGTCACGAGGGAAGTGCTCTACATTAGACGGCAGCGTTCGGGCGAACATCGTCCGAAGGTTTGGCTGGCTCGGATGTATTGATACTTTTTCTCGCTTGAAAGGCTCTTGTGCTTGTTTGAGTGCAGTAGACTTCAAGGCACGTTTCTCGGAACAACGATGGCAAACTGACGAAGAAATCAGCAATGACAATGGCATAGTTGTACCGATAGAATTGAAAGACCTGACGTGACCCGAAACCACTGGGGTAAACAAAGTCTCGCCCGATAACTCATCAACGCGAACTTGTGTCGAGCCACAATCCGCCATGAAACGATGACGGGTGCTTCAGATCGCGTGGCGCACCGTTGTGAAGGATGGGGAGGCTTCGGTCGCTTCCCGATCGTGGTTTGGATTCGGAGCGTCTGCATACTGCGCTGCGGGATGCCAATAGTTGCAACTGTTCAGTCGAGTTTCCTAGATAGTCGTCCTCGCCTGAAGCTGAGAAGTCTTGGCGGCCTAGCTTGTCGCCTAGCAGGCCTCCTAGCGGTGAACAACCTGGCGAGGCAGCCGACCCCTGGATGCGGGGGGTTTTAGTAGTAGTGGTTTTTTTTTTTTTGGTTTTTTTTTCCTGTGTTTTGGGTCGGAGATTCTCCTTCGATTGTTTGTGAGTCTCGTTATTCGTGCCGACTTTGTGGATCCAAGTCATTGGAAATGGGACACTAAGCACGGAGTGTGGAGTTTGAGCGAGCTGGTGCCAGAGCATCTTTCGGGGTCTTCGTGTCGTCCGATGAGGCCATCTACCTAAGCGCAGAGGGCCTTGCATCAACTTCAATATTCGCCCGAGCGGATGTATGTTGGAAAGATGCTGTATGTGTGCCCTGTGCGTCGAAGCCGTGCCCGTGTTGTTATCGACGGCAACGCCAGATAACACGGAGGTTTCCCAAGGTCCTGGTCGGAAACCTGGGGTACGATTCAATATTGCAACTGCATCGCATCAAACAGGGCTATACGAACCAACTCGGCCGAGCTAGACGCACAAGCGGTGCAACGCTGGTACGAGTCTAGCTTTAGAGTTACGTTGGCTAAGAGAACTGGGGTGGCCGGTTGTGAGAACGAGGGTGATGAGAGCAGGGGAGGAGCGGGAGCAGGCGAGGGACTCGGTACGAGTCAGGGCATCTGCCATCTTCCTCTGCTGTAAGGGCAAGACGATCGGTCGACAAGTGAGGCTTCTGGGCGTTGTAGGTCGTTCTTCAGGGCCACAGGACGGCAGCGGCGTGTATTGTTTTGGCATGGTGATTTGCCCCTGATTCAGATTCGAGCAAAGGAAAGCCAAGATCCAACCTCACTGTCGGCTTGTACTAGTGGGTTGTGTATAGACGATTGATTCCCCGAAAGATTGAGTCTAACGACATACTAGAAGCAAGGGAGCGCCAAACAATGGTTCAGGGTACCTCTGGGCGACGCTTGGGTGTAAAGGTGGAACAGAGGAAGAGGAAAAGGCAGTCGAGAAGGATTAAGCCTAATCTACTAGTAATGCAGGTACGAGCCTTTTCTCCTTCCCCCCTTGTTGACCTGCCGCTGGTGGACGGGATGAATTGAGCTTATCCTCAGCGGCCCCAATAAGACCGAGCAGTTCCTCCGAAAGCGGGTCCATCTATTCCCTGTTTGGGAAATACCCCTGACCGCCTTCTTACACGATGCATGTAGCCTACTCGCCCGCAAACCAATCCCACCGTGATCTGACGACTACAGCCAGCTGGAAAGAGCCTGGCCCATTCCTTCTCCTCCCACGTTCCATCTAGCGTAGTCACTGTCTGCTCGGACCCATGGGCATTACTCTTGGTCGCCAGTCCGGGCCCAACTTGGCGGGTGTCCCATACATCCATCATCAGCCACGCTTCTTGACCTCAAAGAGTATGGCCCTTACCCACCAGTTCTGCAAAGACCTCTGTTGGCGCAGGTGTGACCACATCGTTTGCCGGCCCTACTAATGTTCTTCTGGCTTTTTCCCAACATCCTCGCGCCGTGGCGTTCTACTGCTCCTTGCCCATTTACATGGTATTGCATTTTCATCTAGCTAAGGTAGTACTGAACGTCGTGCGTCTCCATCAATCCTTGGACTTGCCACTAGCACTCTAGCCGTGATGTTAGCCCTGGCCGACCTGACACCACTCCATCGACCGCTCCGGTTGTATTGCAGTTCAGCCGCTCATCGTGAGTCCAATATGATGGAATTTGACTATATATGGAGTCCATCCATGCCTCCCATCCATATCTCGTCTCATTCGATCATCACACAGCCCAATCCGGGAAGACATTCGCTTACTCCTGTTCTTTCGCTTGCATAGAACTTGGTCATTCTTTCAAATCACCATCACCATCGTTTCGTAATGGCTCCTCTCGTTCGAGCCCTCGCTGCTTTCGCAGCCGCAGCCTTCCTGACCCAGGTCACCGCGACCACCGTCGAGCTACCGCCATGCCTTGATGATTTCCAGCCCTTCGCCTACTCTGGCTGCTTCCAAGACACGGGAACCCAGGGCGAGCCCGTCCTCGACTTCCGCTCTTCATCCAACCAGTCCGAGAACACCGTTGAGAAGTGTGTTGCTGATTGCAAAGGTGCGTACATCCATCATGCGACCACGCTTGACCTGTGGATCACGTTAACACCTCGATAGGCAACAGTTACCGCTATGCCGGTCTCACGTACTACGGTGTCTGCTACTGCGGTCAAACTGTCAACAGCCCCTCTCTTCCCGAGGCAAGCTGCAACATGCCATGCACTGCCAACAGTAGCGAGACATGTGGTGGCAATGGTGCTTTCTCCATCTGGCAAGATACTACATTCCCTCCCTCCACTGGCGTCACTATCAACGACTACGTGTCCCTCGGCTGCTATACCGACGATACCGACAAGGGCCGCACCATTGCCGAGCGCCAGGACCAGGTTGCCTCTGATAACATGACTCCTTCTTTGTGCTTGCAGGCTTGTGCTGGCGAAGGCTACCCCTTTGCCGGTCTTGAGTACGGCGGCGAGTGCTACTGCGGCGTGGTCATGGGCAACTACACCAAGCCTGCTGCCCAAGAGGAGTGCAACACCCCCTGCAATGGAGACAGCACCAAGACTTGCGGTGGAGCCTCCCGTGTCGAGATCTTTGTCGCCAACAAGCTCAGATCTCTCGAGCCCTGTGGCTTCAAGCCTCCCGTGAACTCGGTCTCTTCTTCCGTTAGCACCCTTAGCACTAGCACCACCCCTCTCCCCCCCGTCAGCGTCCCCAGCACTACCAACGTAGTCTCTACGATCATCTCCAGCCAGGCTCCTGTTCCGACCACGACCCAGCCTGTCACCACGACCCAGCCTGTCACCACGACCCAGCCTGTCACCACGACCAAGCCTGTCACCACGACCAAGCCTGTCACCACGACCAAGCCTGTCACCACCTCGAAGCCCGCCGTGACCACCACCGCTCCTGCGGTCTGCACCACCACTATCGTGACCCCCCCTATTTGCGAGTACGGTTGCGGCAACTGGTGCAACAAGAACCTTCCTGACTTCGACGATGCCGACAGCTGCACCAAGGCCGCCAACAGTTGCAAGCTCCAGGTTAGCGCCTGCTTGGGCTCCGGATGGCCCGGCTCTGCTGGCTGCATGGACTTCAAGGCCTGGTGCAACGACATCGGTAGTTACTGCACCAGCAGCTGCAAGGGCAAGGGTTCCTGCTCCAAGAAGGACTGCTTCGCCAAGAAGGCCCCCAAGGGATACAAGCCAGGCACCACATCCGTCTCTACCTTTCCCTGCCCCTCCAAGCCTACCTCGACGGTCTCCGCGGTCCCCACTGTCGTCCCTCCTCCTCCTATCGGTCTCTGCAAACAGCCTAGCGACTCGCGGTATGGATACGGACCTGGCAAGCCCGTTGGTGGCATTGAGATCCCTTTCGTCACCTGCAACGATATCGCCGCCGACTTCAAGGCCGGAAACAAGTTCAAGCTCTACACCAAGTCCGACTCTCGCTCGTGCAAGTCCTTTGGATCCAACAACGTCCCCAACGCTTGCCAAGAGGCCTGCCAGGAGCAGTACAATCAGTGCCAGAACACTTACGCCCAGGGCTGCAAGGTCTACAACAACCGCCGTGGCCGCCGCGAGGATGCTGTTGTGTACGCCCGCGCTCCCGAGTTCGCCAAGCGCTGGTTCTTCTCGGATTCTTATAGTGTTGCCACCAACAAGTGCAAGGCTCAGTACAACGACTGCCTTTCCGAGAACCATGTCTCGTTTGCTGCCAACAAGTGCGGTGCCTTCGGCACTGGCTACTAAAGAGTGCATCCCTCATCGTCCGGAGACAACGCCCATGCATGGACACGATAGGTGGGGAGTTATCCCCCTCAGAAAAGGGCACTTGGTGCGACTTTGGACTCTTTGACCAACTTGTTAACCTTACTTGTATTAATTACTACTTTTTTTGCAGTTTAATCGGGCTTCGGCTCATTATCTATGCTTTAATCGTTCCTCATTTGTGTGACGTGACATTGGTCTAACGCTCTGGCGGTCAAGGGAGAAGCCTGCATAATTCCCGTTGCAATGCCGCAGGTGCAAAGCACAGCCGCCAGCATGGCCAAGTGGTAAGGCATCGCACTTGTAATGCGGGGATCCTGTGTTCGATCCACAGTGTTGGCACTCTACGTGTTACGGGTCTGCCCGGGCTCAGATTTTGCATTTTTGTCCCCTTCCTCTCGTGGACGGCTTTCACACGAATGAGCTGGGCGATAGATAGACAATTGGCGACCGGCTGTGTTTCCTCAGCTGGAGACTGTGAGAAACACAACGCTAATTCCGTGGTTTATTCGTCGATGGCAACGCGCCGCCTGAACTCGCGACAATGTCTTCGCTGGCAAGTTGAATCCTTCTCGGAGCGCAATCATATTTTGCAAGCAGGTTGATGCGTTTTCAATGCGACACGTAAGAGGACGCAGTGGCTCTTTATCTATGGCCACCTCTCGACGAATCTGCGTCAGGGTTTTGATAGGGAGGCTGGTATCATCATATCCTCTTTTTCACGGTGCGTGTGAAGCTGCCCGAGTTCCCCGCTCTTTCCACGATTCGCCCGGGTTAAGTGTAAGTGCAATAGTGCCTTCTTGCGCCACAGTTTACTGTACAAGACAGGAAACCGCATACGGCCACCGATTGACTTTCCCGATGCCAGCCAGATATACTCGTCCTGAGCAGACGAAACTGCTTGTAAAGGACCGGGGGTCGCTTCAAGTCATCAGGGTGGCTGACCTGCAGAGAGGTTCTTGTACGAGCGCCGTTCGGGCGTACTTGTTTACCTAACTACTTGCTCTTCAATTCTCGAAAGAAGTTCCGAATAACGGCCAGCGCTGCTTCGCCATCACTTGAACCACAGCGGGATGTGAGGTACAAGTGTTAAACAACCATCGTCATCGGCCAGGCATTACTATCCAAATACGGCAAGTACCGGAACCGTCGTCTCAAAAAGACATTTCCCCCAGCTTCATGTTGTGGAGCCTTCCTGTACTCAGACGACATTGACGTCTTGAACCCGGGGAAACGGCGTGCTTCGACCAACGGCCGGGTTTCAAGAGCTCAGAGGTCAGGGCAAAAAAGGTGCACAGAGCTTTCTCGATCATGCAGGATCCTCCTCTCTCGCTCTGTCGTTTCCCCTCTTTTTTCCCAGTCAAACCAACGGCTGGCTGGTGCTGCCAGGAGTCAGCCAGCACGCAACGCCAGTGGCAGCAATTGCGGGCGAGAGAGTTTTGTGCACGGTTTAGGTTCCGTATGGAGCTGGGGCTACAACCGGCAGATAAGGGACGAGATGGAAACGTGCCGAGAGTCCCGCCCCTCCCTCTTGCGTCAGCTTTCGCAATCCATGAGGGCGACGACAACGACCGAATGCGACGGTAGTTGTGTTGTTTTCATTGTCTAGAATGAGCTCGGAACCCAGTCTGGCCATGTTAGAGATTCGGCACCGGGACTTCAGATTGACCGAGGCTGCCCAGCCGGCTTTATTTTACTGCGCTAAGGCGACCCAAAGTTTTCTTGACTGCCTGGTAAAGAGGCAGCTTGGAGGAGGAAGAGGGGGAGGAGGGGGAAGGCAGGCGCGTCTAGAACCCTAAGAAGTTTGGGTTGTGAGCACTGAAAAAGGGCCGGGCAACACACAAAAAAATGGAGGTCGGAAGAATTGTTAAGCGAGCCCGCAACAGTAGCGATCATCTCACACACCAGACGTAGCTTGCGGGCAGCAGGAGGAGAGGCCCTTACGGCGCTCTCAGCGCCTGTACAGCCCGTGCTGCGCCCAATGCTGGCCTGCGATTGGTGGCATGCCAGAGCTGACGTGCCCCTTGGGCCTGACCTAATTTGCCCTGTGCTGTTTATTTTGTTTTTATTTTTCGTCGCTTCCCTTTTAGAGTGCCGTGTGGTGCTGCTTGCTGTTGTGATTTGTCCCCGTCCGGAAAACCCCCTCCAATGCCCCATCGCGCAGTTTCTTCACCTGAGAGTCCCCATCCGTAACATCACCATAGCACCGGCACCAATTGGTCCATACCCCCCCCATTGAGCATCACCACCACCGCCAGGTCATGGTGTTCTAACCTTGTCTTTTACCCCAATCATCATCCTAGACTAGGTCGCTATTGTACACCACAATCCAGGCGACAAGATGTCGGTCGCAAGCAAGGTGAGCCTCGCTCTTTTCCATCTGTCCTTGAATTTATTTCCTCGTCATTACTTTTTTTTTACTTCGTTGTTGTGTGCGGGCGGTGCGTGTTTGTGTGTGCGTCGACCTCGTCGACGTTGTCGTTATTGCTGCTCCCCGACCCCCGATCGTCATCCTCAATGTCATTATGTTCCACGATGCTCGTCCTCATGATCCCGACTAACAATTGTCTCTCCAGAACCTGTTCGAGCTCCTCGGTATGAATTTCCTCGATTTAACGATACCCGACGAATCTTCGATCTGAACCATGCCCTAACCAACCCACAACAGGCAACGATGCCGAGGATGACACTCCTCAGGCGCCCGTGAAGACGGTTGACAAGACCACCATGCGTTCAACCAAGCGAGGTGTCGAGCCCGAAGCTCCTACCCGTGCCGCCGGTAACACCGGTGCTCGCCGCACCAACGTCTCTGGCAACGAGGCCGGTAAGTCGACTCCATCATTAATCGCGGCCCTTGGAGGCGCAGACCCCGCTTTGTGCTTCGGCCCGCTTACTCGATCTTTTATCGACAGCCTTCCGCGACCGCGGTGCTGGCAGCGACCGCAACCGTGGCAAGACCACCGAAGAACCTGCTAGGGGTGGCCCTCGTGGTGGCTACGGTGCCCGCGCCCGTGGAGGTTCGTGTCTTCCTGTCGCTCTCCTTGCTTCAAGACCGGATGCTGGGTGAATGAGGGCGTCCTCGTATTGACAACAAAACTAGGTCGCGGTGGCCGCTTCCCTCGCGAGCGTGATGACCGCCAGCCTAAGAACATTGTCAGGTGAGTTTGAGTCTGGCCTCGTTAACCAAGGGCCAAGGTGCTGACTCCGTGAAGCGGTTCCGAGAAGCAGGCTGCCCAGTCTTGGGGCGCCACCGAGGGCGAGGCCGAGCGCAAGGACGAGGTTGCCGGTGAGGCCATCGCCCAGGCTGAGGCCAAGGATGCCGAGGCCGAGGCCGCTGCTCCCGTCGAGCCCGAGGAGCCTGAGGAGAAGCACATCTCCTACGCCGACTACCTCGCTCAGCAGGCCGAGAAGAAGCTTGCCCTTGAGAGCAGCTCTGAGATCCGCAAGCCCAACGAGGGCACCAAGCTCAAGAAGGAGTGGGCCAACGCCAAGGAGGTCAGCCGTGACGACGACGACACCTTCATGATTGGTACCGGCGGCAAGACCAAGCGCGAGCGCGAGCGCAAGACCAAGCAGCTTCTGGACATCGACCAGCGCTACGTCGAGCCTGAGCGTCCCCGCGGCGGCGATCGTGGCGGCCCCCGCGGTGGTGCCCGTGGCGGTGCTCGTGGCGGTGCCCGCGGCGGTGACCGTGGCGGCCGTGGTCGCGGCGATGCCCCCCGCGGTGGTGCTCCCCGCGCCGGCGGTGCCCCCCGTGGCGGCCGTCGCGAGGGCGGTGCGCAGATCAACACTAAGGACGAGTCTGCGTTCCCCAGCCTCGGCGGCAAATAAATGCCCACGCTACCCAGCACCTATATCCGCCCACATATAGGCAAGAAATGTGCTCCGACACATAGTTCCGCTCTAGTCAAGGATAGAGAACGGAAGGGAAGGACCAGTTTTCGGGGAGATGTGCAGAAGGATGGTTGCGTCATGGTTTCCGAGGACTGGGCCGGCTGATTTCTGGTCGTTGCACGATAAATGAAAGGCTTTTTTTCATCTAGGTACTCAAGGACAGTATCGTTCAAAAAAGTCAAAAAATGGTCTCTTTTGCATGGTTTCTATAAGGAAAACAACAACTTGGTCTCTGGCCCGCTGTCGATCGCGTTGGTTACGGGGATGTCTGTGAGAAGGTCTGGCTTATAACTGCAAAGGAAATGGTTTACTCAAAACAAGGCGATGTTTCCGAGGATAGTACCTGTGGATTGCGTTTCATGATATTACTAGGGTTTCGATCCGAGTCTTGGTTCTGCTCTTGGTTAACATCCCGCCGCTCCGCTGATCCTATAGGTATCCTCGTGATGGACAGGATATTCGAGGGTTGCTATGTCGGTGCGAAAACAAGAGGACTAGTGGCCCGATGACGAAGTCTACGCACGTCCCTCTTGATGGTGACAGAATGTATGGATTTGTAAAGCCCATGTGCCGTCACGAGCCGCCGGGCCCGGCCGGCGTTGGCGGTCTGGAATCATTTCGCGACATTTTGTCGGCCAGCAGGTATAAGTTCCAGACTGACTGGCAACCAAGAGACAAGCACATGAGAGTAGCAACTGAAGCCCGCTGTCATGGGCTACTTGACCGGCCCCGTATGCCTATGTCGACCGATGTGTACAACCAACCATTACGGGTACGGATCATAGCCGTTGTCACGAGTGAATGGCCACGAAAACAAAATGCCCCCGGGCTGCTAGTCCTCGCTATGGAACCCCGCGAGCCGAGGGGGATTATCATTTTCCGAAATCATTACTTCTGCCCTCGCTGGATTCATCCGTTGTGGACAACAAACACAATCCAAGCCGTGTATGGGTGTGTCGCAGTTATTCCCTTTCGAGGCGAGGTAAGTAATGTGTACGTACAAGAAAAATGTCACTTGGCGGCTACCAGCAAACAACACCTATCGGTGAAGTAGGAGAACGCGAGTCTCGCTGGCACAGGTGCGGCGGCTCTACGGTTGCCCAGAGCGGCTTGGGGGGGGGGGGGTTGCGCTTGCCACTACGTTGGCGACCCTCTGTTCTCGGGGTTCCCTATTCTGCGTAAGACAGTGCCCGGGTCAAACTGTACAACAGGCTCGTTCGAGCTTCCATTTGGCTCGAGATCGTCGCCGCCTACAAACATGACCCGCCAGGCGGGAAGACGTGTCCGCTCGCGATGGCCCTTGGGCGATGACAATAGGTTGGCCTACGGAGCATTTCTCAGGAGTCGATTCCGTTTGCCCCCCGTGTCTCGATGTTCGGCGGTTACTCGGTGAACCTGCCTTAGGCTGGCAAAATTCGAGAACCATGGTGGACACATCATCTCACCGCAGAAGAGTGCGGCTGCGTGTTGTTGCCCCCTTGTGATTCCTGTCTTGGGATTCAAACAAGACAATGCGACTTGTCACAGAGACTAGGTAGTTGGGATTTCTTCTCCAGAAGACCCTCAAAACGGCGAGCCACCCACTGCGTGATCCCGCACTTATACCCAAGGGTTTGGCACGTGGGTTTTCTACGTCCTGGCCACCGACGCTGGCGCCCCGTCCCTGATGAGCCGGCACCCAGACGCACTCCTACTGTTGTTGAAGCAAAAACACAGGTGTTGTAGAGGGGGAACATTTAGTTTCTTCCAAGTAGACGGCGGCGCTGTTGCCGTATATACTAATGCCGCGGGTTATTGAAAACAAGGTCTAACCAAAACTCTTCATTGGATGGTCAAGTGTGCCTGCGAGTTGCATACGGCCGCAAGGCAGAGGGGCTCGCGCCGAGAAAGTGAGGTGAGTTCGAGAATGTGCAAACTCAAGGATCATTACTATCGTAAAACTCCTGGTAGCACGGGAGGAGAGACATGGAGCCCCGCCCCTTATTAAAGCCTCGTGAGGCAAATCGAGAGACCCCCCAGGCCTTAGCCTCCAGAGAAGCTGTTCAATTAGATGCGGTTCGACCGTGACGGCTGTAATCGAACGTCAGCCCCAGTGATGCAAACACCCGCCATGAATCCATACCATACCATACCATTCGTATTCTCAAGAGAAGGACAGCGGCCTCGCCATCTAGAAAAATGGCATCGGCTCAATACCTCACAGCCCCAAACCCCCTCTCCTATTCGCCAATTTCGCCAACACGGCCACGACGAACAGCCAGTTCCCAGGCAACAACCTCAAAAGAGACCAGCTCGACAGACTTCCAGCAAGATACCAAAGCAAAACAAAGGGGGAACCGGTTCTCTCCCACAAAGGACTTGACCGTAAGGCCACCCCCCGGTCCCTTTTCTAGCAAGCAACAAAACGCCGTTGAATACCGTAGCAATGGGATTATTCGTGCGCCCTTTGTGTCAGTGTTGGGAGGTCGAGGGCCACGCGGCCGCACGTCGATGGACGGCTTTGTGAGTGGTGGGCGATGGCATTTGATTAGTATATTATAGGACATTTTCTTGCTTTACTAGTGATACTCGAGCAGGACCACTGTCACGGAACACAACCGCAGAGCACGCTCGACACATCCCGGACATACCGGCATCTTCACAGCGAGAGCCCATCGACACCGACAGGTCTCCCCGGGAACGATGCCTTACGTCACCTGCAACCCCGACGCCCCATCGGGCCCGTGGACCGCGACGATACCCTGTCCCGTCTGCTATGAAGCCCGCAAAGTGCGAGAGCGCCCCAGCACCCTCCGCCGGCTCCTTGGCATTTCCCGCCAACCCGGGCCCACGTCCCCTCCCTCTGTGTGCTCCGAATGCGGCAGCGCTGGGAGAGAGACGACCACCTTCAGCGAACCCAACTGGAACCCGGAGCACCGTGTTGACCGCCGCGTAGAAGAGCTCGTGGGGCCCGCCAACGAGACCCGGGCAGACGACGTTTTTGGCCCGCCGACGCCCCTAGGCAAGCCGGCGAGCATGTGGGCGAGGGTGAAGCCGCTGGAGGACCACCCGTATTTCGCCGTCCCCGACGCCCACGAGCTTGCCTGGGCTAAGGCCATCAGAAAGGCGCGGAAACCCGAGCGGGCCGCTTCAGACGTGTGGAGTGTACTGCGGGAGATGATGGGCCGTCTCTTGCTGTCTCGTGGGCTGACGCTGCCCCCGGTGTATGAGGAGCACCGGGTAAGATCGCAAGAACGGCGGAACCAGGCCGATAGGTTAGGACGGACCGGGGACGGGCCCTGGACCTGGTCCACGTCGCCTCTGATATTACCGCAAAGCGCACTCGAGTCTATCCCGGAAGGGGAGAGTCGGAGGAGACAAGCCGGACGCAAGCTCGCCACAGACGAGGGGTGAGCAAGCTGCCTGAAGGTGGGAGAAGAAAAAGACATGTGTCGAGGATGGACAAGGTTTGCGAGGCTATTTGGTTCGACGAGTATCGTTGTGCTCAATCTGGGTAGACTGTTGGGGACGGGATCATTGGATATGGTCTTGCGTGCCAGGCAGGTATATTGGCACTGTTCAGGGAGAGACGGGTGAGTACGGGGCCTCCTTGGACATCGAGTGAGTCACATATGAACATATGATGGAATAAAAATGTCTGTTGATCTTGTCACTTCTCTTACTTTTCACTGCTTGTCTCTATAAAAGCGACCAGCATCGATGCCCAAACTGGCCAAGAAGAGGATCGCGTTAAAGGACGCCATCATGTAGAAAGGCGCGCCGTGCGATACGGCGTCAAACATGAAGCCGCCCAATTTTGTGAGCAGCAAAATTGCAGCTCCTCCAAACCAGGAGTACATGCCCGCAATGGAGCCCTTGAGCCGCACTCGCGACACGGCATCTGCACTCGCATTGTGCTGCAGCAACGGTGCGGACTCGGTACGTGCCTCCATGGCCTCGGTCGAATCCTCAAACGTGTCGATGATCTGCGATTTGGGAACATCTGCGGTAAGAACGCCGCGGCCGAGGAAACCCAGACTGCAGACAATTGAGCCGATCTGGCTAATACCGATCAAGATCACGATGAAGAAGATGGCCGGGCTGCCCCCTCGGCCATCGACGTTCTTGTATTCCGGGCTTTGCAGCTGGGGAAGGGCGATGTAGCCGACGATTCCGGATGCGGTCGCCACAAGGATAGGATAGTTGACGCGACTGCGCCTCCTGTTAAAGTAGCCGAACAAAGGTGCAGCGAACAGCCCGAACAGCTGGGCTACGCCAGTCAGAATGGACGAAAGAAGGTAGGCTGCTCGACACTCCTTCTTCAGCTCAGGCGAAGGGTCGTGCGGAGACCCGTGACAGAAGCCATTACTGATATAGTATGTGTTGATGTAAAGAGGGATGAAAAGAGAAATGGCGACGGTAGAGGCTCGGGCTACGAAGCCGCCCAGGTACCCAAGGGCAATCTGGGAGTCTGTGAAGCCCAGCGTGACAGAGTCTCGCAGCAAACGAAGGTATGGCAGAACCTTCTGCGATCTGTTAGTACGTTTTCCCGATATTGCGAGGGGACTGCTTACCGGCCGTATCGGATGATCTGAATCGTGCTCATCAACGTCTTCCAGGCCAGAGTTTGTCTTGAGACCGAGAAGGATGCTCCAACCCTTGCCCTCCTCACCCTTTAGGTCTCTCAGCCCGAAGAAGACGATAACTGATACGATAAATGCCACAATGCCTACGACGTAAAAGCTATCGGCGACTGCATCAGCCGATGTGACACCGTCAATCTCGCCGAACCGAGCTGGGAGTGGGAGGAATAACGAGAGCGCAACCAGTGCGCCGCATCCCGTGAACAGTCCCACATAACCCGCCAACGCCGAGGGCTTGCCGGCCTTCGCCTCTTCCCTTTCACTCGCGGTCGCAGCCTGGACATTTCCGTCAATGCCGCGGAATCGCGCCGGGGTGATGGTCATGTCGGACTCGAGCGACATGGCCACGCTGAGTCGGGGGTTGTAGGTCGGCTTGTTCACAGCGTCTGCGGATGTGTCGGAGTTGTCGTCATCGTCCGTCAGAGATGGCAAGATGGCCGTTACCATGGTGGCGCTAAGGTGAAGAACGTCAGTCATGCGTCCGCTCAAGACCTTGGTTGTGATTACTTACGCAGCGGTTGCGCCAATGGCGAAGAATATACGCGCCAGTAGCAGTTGCGGATACACGTTCTTCGCCTGAACGAAAAGTATGAGGGCGGCGCCAATAACGGCGTATCCGATAACTGCGACCCATCTCACACCGAGCCGATCCGAGACCAACCCCCAAACGGGACATGCGATGAGCGCAACGAGCTCGTCCACGAAGCCGAGGGTGCCGACAATGTCGCCGACGCCATCCTTGACGCCAATTAGGTCGGTAATAACAAAGGATATGCTGCTATTGAGAAAGACGAGAAAGGAAATGGAGAAGAGAGAGATGCCGAGGAGATATGTCACTGCTTGCAGTGTTGTGGTCGCCTCGGAAAAGGGCAGGTAGCGGGATAGAAGCGCCATGGTGAGGGTAGGTAACGCAATCGGCGTTGTGCCGAGCAATTCAGGTGATTCTCGTGTTTTTGCAGGAGACCACCTTCCGGACCTACTCTTACATCTCGCGGCAAGCGGAGGCGATGCTGAGAGAGGTGGGCAGTTTTGTTTGTTGTTGATCAGAAGGAAGAGAGTACGTCAAAGTGGGTATGTAGCTGCCGTAGGAGTGCCGGTGCGGGTCATAGCAACAGCAACCCCGATAGTCCGTCCGCTTTACATAAGCGCCGCACCAACGGTCTACCTCACCATTACGCACACGACTAGATACCCCGCCAAAGTTTGGGCCCGGCATGCCAATCGCAACTGTTGGAGAGTATGTAAACACGTTTAAGAGGGTTTGGTGTTTTTATTTATTTTATTTCAGTTCGGGGATATTTTCCGGGGAGGGTTCCTTTTGTGATGGTCGCTCGACAAACTTCTATTGGCCTAGCTACATGTCGCAAGATGTTTTTACCCCTTGAATTGAAAGAGGTATCAGCATGACGCCCAACGCCAGTGGCCAAGCATTTCTCACGACTTGCCTCAAAAAAAAAGCCAGTTTCTGAGTAGCCCTGTTGACTCCCCGACTCCGTTGCTTTCCCAAACCGTGATTTTCTTGCCGGCATTTGATTTATCGTCCGTCATCATACAGTCTACCACGACCAGAGCACCTTGTGGTGCAGCACCCGAGCGCCAAGTCGCTCGAACTCGAATGGTGTGATCCACGAATCATTGGCCGGCAGTTTGGCAAAGACACTAGCCCCCTTCCATGTCACGACCTGCTCGTCCATGTCCCTCGCGCTTCGGCTGACGAGAATGCGGTCAAACAGGTCAGGCCGCCTAGCCTTGAGCTTCTCTTCCAGTACGACAGTGAACTGTGGAGTCTTTGATCCGCCACCGACCACCATGATGCTGCCCAGGTAATCACGTAACTTCTTGTCGTCCCCCTTGGCGGCGTTGTAAATGCTAGTAAGAATAGCAAGATCCAATGGTGCGGTGGGCAGAACACCGTCGCGTTCGATCGCGATTGCTTTGGCACTGCGTGCAGAGGCATCAACAAACATGCCAGCAGGCGGCTGTGCCGCCGTCGCACCGTTCGGTGCCGGCGTGCCGCCATTTCTTGCGGGAGGAGCCGGGCTGCCTCCGTTGGCGCCATCTTTGCTTCCGCCAAAAACAAAGGGCGCAGGCACCGGCGTGCTAACACCCTCAGGCGCCGGCGACGGAGCATTGGATCCTAACGGAGTGCCATTGATACCGTTCTCGCCCCGTTTGAGAAAGTCAAATGGCTGCAGCTTTTCCTTGACTGGCGTCGACACATCGTTCTGCGACTGTGTGAAGCCGTTCGCAGGAGCAGCATTCAATGAAGGCTTGACGAGAGCCAGAATGCCAAACTGGGCTGCCGATGTCGGGTCATCAGGGATATCCACGTCATAGGCGTTGTAAGACCGTTCAATCAACTTCCTGCGACCTTGAAGCTTGGTACTGTTGTCGAAGATCGTCGGGTCGTAGAAGCCCATAGGGGCGAGAATGACCTCGTCGTAGGTCTTGAATTGGTACTTGTGCGTCGGTTGATTCGGGGCTCGCAGATGGAACTGATACAACTGGACAGAAATGTCTGCTTGGGACATCGTACAATGCTTCATCTTGAGCTCCTCTGCTAGCAAAAAGTCGTGGCGCTTACGGAGGTTGATTTCTTGGTAGGGGAAGTTGTCGTAAAGCAGCATCTTGATAAAGGTCTCCGTCACGTCGTAACCACCGTATTTCAGATTGATCCGAGAGTCTTCGACGCAAAGGCCATCCTCAACGCAAGTGATGGAGGTCTTCTGGGCACCAACATCAACGACACAGGCCTGAGTGTATCCTGCACCAAACGTAGCAGCCATGCTCTCTTGAATGAAGCATATCCGGTTGAACTCGAACCATGTCATGCAGGATCTGAGGACCTGTTCGACGTACTTTTTGTCGTAAAGATCGGGGATGACGAAGACACAGCTGTACTGTCTCCACGTACTGTTCTTGGTAAGACCCAGCTCCTGTCTGATCGCTTTATCGAGCAGGGTCTCGAAATCGTCAAAAAGGTGTTCGGCATTCAGGTAATCGTCCTCGTTGAATACTCCATGCTGGATTGGCCACCAAAGCTTAAACTTTGGCTGAGAATCATCAGGTACTCGTTGTGCTTGGTGCCCGATGAAGCAGGAGGCGGATGATTTGGGATCGTCTAGGCTGTTGACGTCGGTCCAATCGATTTGCAAGGGGTCATTGTGCGTTTGGATGATCTCGGGCTCGGTCCGGCGGTTGTAATTCAGCACCAATTCTTTGGAATTGGGCAGTACCTTGCGCTTGTTTGCGCGCATCTCCAATTTGAGATCGCTGCACATCTTGTTGTACTTTTTCGACCACTCCTCGCCGTATTGCTGGTCTTGAGTCTTCGCTTCGAACTGCCGACGGGGAAGGGCTTCGTGCATCTCAGCCTCAGTCTGCGGGAATCTCGACGCAAGTGTCATCGGAATCGATTTGGGAAGTGCGTCGCTAGCGAAGCCAATCCGGAGGTTCTGACTGCCAGGGTGGATGACAATAACCTTAGACGGGTCGAGACCTGAGGCGGCATCGGTAGGCGCTTCGTCAGGTTGAATTTCGGGAATAACGAGAGGTACTTCAGCGCGGCCACTCTGTGCTAGAGCACGATCTCTGTCCTTAGCAGCTTGAACGATTCGGTCGCGGGTGGCGTCGCCTTGGAGTCGTAAAGCGAGAATCTGGTCATCGCGCTTCATGTAATCCCTGACGAGAGCATTATGAGCATCAACACGAAGAAACATACAGAACAATTTATCCTAGGAAGCTTACGTATAGTAGTTCTTCTGGTTGATTGGTGTGACATCCGGCCAGCTGGTTTGCTTCATACCATTGTCGGTTCTCTCCAGGCCTGTGATTCGCAATCAGCATTTGGGCATCACAGTAAACAGCTACGCGTTAACTTACCCTCCCGCAGGAGAACCCTCTCACTAACTTTGCCTACCATTGTGTCGACTTGCTCCCGGTAATTGGAGCCAAAGGGCAAGCTCGCGTTGGTGTCATGGGTTTCCAACAGGAAAACAGATCAATAGCGACAGCCTCAAGGTCGGATTACCCTCAGCCTCCTCGTGAGCAACGAATCATCGTGTTTGGCAGCCTGCTAGTCCGTGCATACAAACTGTGGCTGGGGTAAAAGTCAGCCCCAGAAGCCGTGGCTCAAACCAAGAGCGTCAGAGGATCGGGGTAACGATAAACCGAGACTATCCACTATGTAACCAATACGGTACGTACCGTGCTCGCTTCGAGGAAAAGCTCAGACATGCCAAACTGCAACGACGCCATTGACGTGTCGCATGTCACGTCTCGAGCTTGACCTCACGACAACAATAACACTTTCTTGACACGACACGCAGCGCGTTCCTGATGGAAATAGTCTCGCTCGCTATGGCAGTAATCTGTCCAACAGATGATCCTTGTGGTACCGCCGCATTGCGTGCACAGCTGGCCAGCTAAGGTCAAGTCATCGACAACGTGACTCCGCTTCCTCCCATCCACTGAAGCTTGGATTCGCGACTTCGAGCGGTCCAAGCACTTCAGGTAGCAGACCGTCTTGCGGCTCTGGTGAGCAGAAAATTCAGTGACAAACCATTGGTCATGAGATACGTTGCTCGGACTGTCCCTTGAATGTTTGGTTGCTTAATGCCTCGCAGCCTAACAATCGCTTGGTTTGCATAAGCGAGAACTGAGTGGATGAACTTGACACGACAGTTCGCGCCAAATCAAAGACCAAACAGTTGATGCGAGGCTAACACCTCCCGGGGACTTCGGTGGACGCCGTGTAACTCTAACTTTCCAAGGTACCAGTAGGCGGCGGCATTTCTTCCCGGAAAGTACCGCGAGGCAAGTGATGCTACCACGAGCTCCCCGATGATGGTCCCCATACCCGCTGTTACTATTGTTTACATTGCCGTCATTTGCATTAACCACAAAGACATCTTTCCCTCGGAACGACGCCGTTTTCTCAGGAAGCAGTAGGGACGAACATGGGAGCAAAGGAAGGAAACATGCATTCGAGGTCCGGGCTGCCGCTGCTGCCCTCACCAGTCACACACCTCTAGTCACCTGACAGCGCCCCAACCACCAGCAATGACGTCGTCACGTAAGGTTCCGCCTGTCATGGAGGAACTACACAACGTGCCACGTCTGTTCATGACTCTGAACCGATTTCAAACACATCTCACGAAAGACGCTCGCCATCCGCTCAAGCCAACTCAGACCGTCCTACAGCATAGACATCTCGCAGCATTACACACGGTGTGACCCCGCATTTCAGTTCATCTCTCACTCTAAGCCAAGAATTTGACATCAAGCCATGCCTGCCATTCCCATCTTCAAAGACACTCCGATCAATGCCTCCAAGGCATCGGGGGCTACTCCGCAAACTGAGGAGTCACACTCCAGCGCCAGTTCCAATAACGCCCCCGAGCTATCGCACAGTCGAGTCGGCGCACCCCCACCCGCACTCGCACCATCATCCACCCACCAGCAGCCATGCCCGCCGGCACAGCCTGTTGCCGCCCCGTCTCTCCCTGTCCAGACAGCCTCCGCACAAGCATATCCTGCGCCGCGGCCAACTCCAACCCAGAAGACGGGTGATGACAGCCCTCCGCCGCCCCAGCCAGGCGCTGCCCCGGTGCCCGTGACAAGCACTTCGACGCTGCCTCCGCGTCCGAAGGCGGGCGAGGCCTACCAACCTCCAGCATCAACGCCCGCCCCCCTTCCTTACCCTCCACAGATGGGTATTCCTCCCCCAACCATGTCTCATTCGGCGTTGCGAGGTTCTTCCACGTCTATTGCCACCGGACCTCAGATGACTGGGCCACGACCCATCCCGCTAGGAGGCGATCTTGCATTTAGCCTTGAACACCCTCCGGGTTACCGACAGGACGTCGGTGCGTCTGAGTTCAGCAGCCACCAGAGAGCTGCTCACCATGCTGCGGTGACATCGTCTGCTGAGAGAGGATTCCAAGCTCAGCCCGAAGAGGGGGTATGGGACACGGCAAAAAAGTGGGCGCAAGCTGCCGGCGGAACTTTAGCCGCAGCCGAGCAAGAGGTTTGGAAAAGGATCAACAAAGACTAGAACTGCTGAGGGCCTTGTGCCAAAATACCAAGCCGTATTTCACTGTCAAGACCCAGTTGTTCGGTTGGAACTCTAGATTGAACTGGGAAGCCGCCTTGAAATCAAGAAGGATCGATTTGACGGGCAACATTCGATTGGTTGATTGATTTCTCCTGGGCCGGTTACAGCTGGTGATGCTTGCCGGACTCCAACTTCAAGCATCATACATCCAGCTTCTGCCCCCCTTGCCCCTGCACAATTTCCGTCCAGGACTCCAGGTTCACCTCTTGTACGATCTTGCACCAATGATCTCGCGCGAGCGTGTTCGGCTTCGTAATTGAGTCTTCCTCTGTCCATACAAGTGGTCACTGTCAGGGTTGCTTTCTTTCGATAGCCCCGAGGGCAGCCCGGATTACGAACTGACGAAAGTTTGTCTAAGAGCGATGGCGTGAGGAGTCTATGACATCTACCTAGTCCATTCTATTTACGGTGTCCCTGTACATCAAGATCAACTGGTAGCCGAGAAAAGCACATCCAGCCGGAGCTAATGCCTTGTCAGGCCCATCATTTCCTGGCCGGCCCATGAGAGAGCCGGACTAGCTCTAGCTATGATAAACATCAAACGCATCGATATGACTGATAAAACGCGGACCACCATACATAGTACCTAGCGCACTACGGAGAGTTCATCGCTACCTTGCTCGCCTCCTTTCCCCTTGCGGCTGCAGATACGATCTTGTCAGCCTTCCCCAATAATCTGCGTGATGTCTGGTGTCCAGTTGAGCCGAGCCGACTAACAATCAATGGCGGGGTAAAGTCGCGTCATCATTGGTCCATGATCTCCATAAGAGCTGTGCTATAGACAACAACTATGGCTAGAGAGTTGGTTCAATTTCCCAAAACGTCCGTGGTTGTCATGCAAGCAAGACAGCCAGCCCACGTCGGCGGCCAGTCCGGAGGATCCACAGAACAACTCATCGAAGGCACGGCAGAAGCCAGCCAGAGAAGACTGGAGACTCTGGGAGGCCAACGGCGAGAGACGGGCGTTGCATCCTTCGCACAGACGAAGGGGTCAAGGACGGCCTTCTGGGCGGCTCTCGGAATGCACATCTGATCTAAAGGGGAGCGTCAATTCTTAGTTTCCTCGCCTTGCGACGTCCGTGGCGTGTGATGGCGGCAAGAGGGGTGTCCGCGACCGTTACCCTACAAAGGAAGTCCACCCTAAGTTTCACTAACAGAGACACAACCCATAGGACCGGACGACAGAGTTTTTGACTGGCGATGTACGTCGTTAGCGCCATACCAGTATTCGCAAGTGGGTGGGCTGTCACCAACGTAGTCGCACAGCAAGCTTCAACAATCCACGGGCTCAGTGCTGGCGACAAATGATGACTTTTTCTTTTCTTCTTTCTTTTTCTTCTCCTTTTCGGGGGAGGGCCAATTTACGCGTGTACACTCCATGCCGGACAATGATCCCTAGATCTCAAGTCGCGGCCGCAATCTGTGCTGCAATAACGGGAGTAGGCGACCATCCTAGGTGAGAAAATTATGGAATTATCCAGGAGATCCATGCAGGGCTGAGCTATAGCGGGTTTGTGTTATGTGGATGGATGATTCATTAACGTGACGCGGATTATTGCTGCCAAGCGGCCAGTCAGTCGTTCAGCGATTGGTCTTTTGCTGACAATCCTAATTGTTCTCAAGAACGACAACTTTCTTTTCTTATCGACATCTGCCTTCAGCCAGCTTTCGGCTGGATCCTCTACTGTCAGAATTATGGCACTGAAGCTGTGGTCTAGATCAGCTATAACAGACGACGGAACAAATCGCAGGCTATCCGAGACGAGGTGGGCGCGGCTCGCTAAGAGGCGCGTCAAGGGATGATGGCGTGGGGGGGGGGGGGGGGGCAACGGCGAGGAGGGAGGATGGGGTGGAGGGGCAACCAGTCGCGAGGCCAGATCTGTTGGATCGCCAGCACCAGTGAACCTTCTTGGCGCAAGAGCCGGACGGAGCCAGTCTTTACAGGTAGGTCGATTTGCAGAGGGAGTTTAAGGTTACGGCACCCTGCAATGGTTGAGTAAGCAGGCAAGAAGTAACAGGCGCTGAGGGAGAGCCACTTTAGCCAGAGGATCCGGATGTGTCGTGAGTTTCGTCCTGACTTGGCCTGTTCTTGACAAGTCTCACGTCTCATACAAGAGCCCAAACGTCGGCATCTGTGCGGCAAAAGTATTTGATATAATTCGATGTTGGATTTGCTTTCCGTGGCAGCCGGACACGTCTGGCAGAGCAGTCGCAAGGGGGCAGACCGTTTGGATGGGGACGAACCCCACGGACGGCAAAGCACAAGGACGACTTGGGACCAAAGGAACAGCAGAAAGGGTTGTACCAGAGCGGCTGCCGCCATGGGGAGCAACATGCATGCAAATGGAAGCGAAGCGGAACGGATTACGGCCTGTATCATTCATATATGCAATTGGTGACAGGTGACGGCCTTACAAGCATAGAGTGGGTGGTTGATTGCTGGATACACGTAGATGAGGCGAAAGGCGATCAAGATGAGGCTTGACCTGTCATGTCGAAAGTGAAGCCAAGTGATCTACAAGATGCAGTCGCATCGAAGACTTCATTAACAGTGGTGATTCTCCTATCGCGGCAGCATCCTTGGCAGGAGCGGGAAGCCGTGGTTGACGGAAGGCACGTGAGAGATGCCTGGTGAGCACACAAATAAGACACGATAGCGGCACGCAGAGGTTGGAAGACAGTGAGATGGATGGGTTCGCGTGGCAACTGAGAGGTCACAAAGAGTGACTGCGGTCAACGGCCAACCTAGTCGGGAGGCCAAAGCGAGACAAGGGTGTGTCTTCTGTGACAGATCTGAGACGGCTTGCATCCCTGCAAAACCCCTGGCACAGCCCCCACATCCCCAGTGGACTTGGGGTCGACAAGACCTAAATCCAGCAAGTCACGACCACGAGTCAGTGGTTGGTGGGTGGCATTCGGCGCGCTGTAGCGTAGCGTACGTGTACTGCACCACACTACACTACCTACCCATACAACGCCACAGCAAGGGACGTGGCTTCCGTACCATGGCTCAACATTTCAACGTGTGCCTTCGAGCTTCTTGACGTGGCCTGTGAGATGGGTAAAGACGCTGCATTGCGAAAACGAGGTGGGGGTCGGAAAGGGGAGCTGGACAGGAAGCAAGGTTTTAACAGTAGGGGCATTCGACGGACAAGACGACGAAAGGTCGAGGGCCGGAGACGGACAACCTGCTCGGCACCGAGTTGATTACAAGATAAGTCACATTTATACACGCGGCAGGCAGGTATCGGACGAAGAAAATAACGGACGGGACACGTCGCAGCAGGTGATGGTGGACAAATGTCATCAGGCAGATTGCAAGATGCCGTGTGGTAGCTGCACTCTGCAAGGTACATACATACAAGATATTATACACATACATGGTATAGTCACACACACACACACACACACACACAACACAGACACACACGCCGTACTTCAATTGGTGTTGACAGAGAACGGGAAGAGGAAGAGGAGGGGGCAGAAGGAGAGAGTACGTACTCCAGGTACGGGAACGACGAGACACAAAGCCGGGGCCAGCCCACTTGCCATATACCCCACCCCCTACCACACCTCCCCTCTTCTAGCCTCACCCCTGCAGATGCTTACCTCAGCGACAAATCACATTGCGCCGCTGGCCAGCTCAAAGTCAACTTCAAACGTGCCTGCTCCGTGCCAACAGCACCACCACCATCACCACCATGTCAAGCCGACCAACGATGTCAAAGAGGCCTACAGTGTCCCGGCTCCATCATGGCGCCCCATATACCCTCCATCACCGGTGCTAAGTGGCACGATCTTTTCGTCAGTTCTTTTTGCTCTGATCTCCCGATTCAACACCATGACATGCACACGTACTTCCCTCCCCCCTTTTCTTTTCGCCTCCGTATTCGCGGGGAGATTGGTCCGACTATTGCCTTTGCTGCCCGTCTACAAGGTTTCCGTACGACATCATGTCGTTCTTTTTACTCTCTTTTATCTTCTTTCCCTTTTAGGTATTTTCGGAGACGCGATGCCTGTCGCGTGGACACTCGTCCCGTTCGGCTGTTGTCAGGCAGCGGAACCGATGACTGACCTGACTCCTCTTTCCCTCTTAACCATGCCCAAACGTTCGAACCCACTTGCCAACCCCAGGATGGCTGGCTGGCTGGCTGGCCTGCTGGCACAAGGCCAAAGATTCCAATTATTTGACGAATCGCATCGGGGCCTAGATGGGCTGGCCTGGAAACAACTGGACCTGGAACTGGAACCGTAACTGGAACTTGAACCATAGCTGCGACTGGGATCTCGTCTGACCCCTCGTCCACATGGTTCCGAGGCTGCCTCCCCTCGGCAACACTCCGCTGGTAGATATGTTCCTGCAGTCCTCCCGGGACACAGCCAGCCAGCCGGGCAGACAGAATGGAACGAGATGGATGGTCCAACTGTCATCCACTCACATCGACCCTAGGCGCATCTTCTCCGATCTCGTGTGTGCTCTGCATGCTGCAGCGGCCAGCTAAGCTCAGCTTAAGCTCAGCTAGCTCGACGAGCTGCGATCCGAAATCAGCCTCTTTGTTTCGCAGGCGCCACCGCAGACTCATTGATCTATCTGAAGACTGGCATTTCTTGTTCGCTCGCATCAACCCAAAAGCACACCATGGCTGCATCCGTGCTTGTTTATGCCTGTCGCGGCTTTGCTCGTCGTTGGCACGACGGCCGAACGAACAAGAAAAAGAAGCCCGAGAGCGGATCTGCTGGAAAGGATAGGATGCCAGGTTCATCATGTGGGGAACTAGGGATTTGACAAACTAGTAGCAAGGATATCCCTGTACCGCACTCGCCGCCAAAACAAGAGCCCGACGTCAGGATCCTCTTGCTTCTCTTACCAAACACTCTCTTTCCATGATCTTCGTACCCGAGCCTGATTGGCCCCAGAAAGGCCGCCGACAGAATCCTGAGTTCTCACACCCGGCTGCTACACAGACGTTGCCCGAGACCCCTCTCCATGGTCCCCATGTCCTTCCTTCCCCCTCCATTGGCCTGGGACAGGATCAAAAATGGGTCTAGCACCGCGGCGGATTTACCTTGCAGACGTGCCGTACGGACTCGGCCTACCCTACCTACTGACACTCCAGACAAGTCGCATCGTATCATTCCGATACTGGACTGAGGTTCGTCCGTGACCCCTGCTTCTTGCTTGGTTTCCGCTACGAAGAAGGTTGGAACCTGGCGCAAAACCTGTCCGCGGAAAGACACGACAAGAAGAAGGGCAGTAAGATTGAACACCACGAACAACCAAGGAGCGCATCAGACCAGGCCCAGTTTAAGCTAGTTTCGGCTCCGCCTTTACTCCCAACTCATCCGCCGTATTGCTAGGCTGTGTGCAACGCAGCAAAAGACGAAGTCCAACATGCCGGCCGAGCCACTAGCCATGATCCATTCCGATGCCTCACCTGCAGTCTCCTGGCCCCTCTCTCTCTTTCTCTCTCTCTCTCTCTCTCTCCGCGGCCTCTGGGGCCATGTTGCAACATGTGGGTGTATGGGATGAGACAAGCCACCTCCTCGTCAGCTATTTTCTTCGATTTGCTGGGGTCCTCGTCAAATTGCAGTCCTGATGGCCTTGGCCGGAGACCACCGAAGGGGTGCGTCTTCTAGCTCATACGTCGTGTCCGGATATCTGAAATACCAACATGGCGATCCAGCGGGTGGTCCGTCGCCCAAGTTGGGTCCTATATTTTGTCACGACGAATATCTCTGCTACAAATCCACACCTGCACCGCCGCCGTGAGTGCACAATATGGAGAGTGCACGGGGAGGAGGGAAAGGGGAGGGGGGAGGAGTCTAAAGGTCTAGAAGAGGGTGTTGTGTGAAAAGGTCCTCTAGGTGTATCCGTATAACACGATGGATAGGCTCTTTGCATGGAGATAATCGCCATTGTATTGTATGGGCTACAGTAACCGCAGGCAAACGTCCATCCGGTAAGTCATTCCTCCTTTTTTTTTTTTTTTTTTTTTTTTTCCTTTATTTTTTCCATCCCATCACTTGCTTCTCCGCGACTGGCTGGCTGTCCGTTCTCTTCATGGGCCCCTCCTTTCGCCTTTTTTCTTTCTTTTACTCTGGACCTCCATCCCAAGTATCTCTCTTGCTCCTCCACACCCCCCCCCCCCCCCTTCCCCCAAATTTGGCTCTCAGTCCCGCGGATTCTCCACACCACCGTCAGCTCTTTCCCTCTCAGTCCTTCCACTCTCCATCTGGGCCTCTCTCTGTCTCTTCCTCAACTAGATTTCGCCCCTCCCCTTTCTGGTGACGCATTTTTCTTTCAGTACCGAGTTCGTGCCATATACATAGTTTATGAACACACATCCAGAACCTGGGTATAGCCCTGTTGACTTGTTTGATCCTTGTCCTCGACTTCCAAAAGCAGGTGGGAGTTAGGCCGCTCCCTGGCTCATCGGCATCTCGCTCCCACACATCCACATCGACGAACAGATGTGGCCTTGTCCACCACCAGAAATACATCCCTGCAATAGTCGCCCTTGCGTCTTTCTCTTCTTACTGAGCCAGGCTAAGCACCATTCTTGCCTCTGCCGACGCGCCCCCCAGGTTCACAGACAGGAAGAGGGTTGTACCAGGGAATCCGGCTTAGCCCCAACCGACGTTCCGAACCTGACCGTGCAGACCTATTGGTTAGTTCATGGATGATGCTTCTTTTTCCCACACTACTTCTTTTATACCTCCAGGATCCGTCTGCACCGCCCCTCGACCTGTCTTCTTCTTGCTCTCCTTTTGCGTCCCACTTACAAGGTCTCATTGCTCTTGATTCCCATTGCTAGTCACTCCTTTTTTCTTCGACTCGGAGAGAGAGAGAGAGAGAGAGAGAGCCTTGTAACCTATAATTTTTTCTTATTTTTTCTCGAGGGGTGCTGCCTCCTCTCATCTATAATACCTACTCTCCGGGAGCTGGACCTCTTCACCCCGCCAGCAACCCAGACGATCACCGCTTTCTCATCTTCGTCACCAAGTCACCAAACGAGGTTGCCCGTTACCGCAAACTCCCCACGCTCCTTTTCCTTGCTGCCTCGAGTATTGTACGAGTTCATACATTACTCCTATATCGGCCCGGCACACAATTGCCTGTCACCACTCACCTTCTACACCACGCAGTCTATCTAAGGACGGGAACCCCGACCGCCTCTCGCTACCACCGTCACTAGCCTCATCGCGAGGACCCGCCTGTCCCAACGCTCACTACCAAACGGCACGCCCTGCAATATAAGAGGGACGAAAAGAGACCCAGAGGCGTCAAGAAAGGGAAGGGGAGAGAGAAATTTACGCGTTCCCCTGCTCCCAGCAAGCGGCAGCCACGCACGCCTGTCCGCCCGCCCATTACTCGCCTGGCCCGGAGATTATTTGTCTCCCTCCGCCGAGGTTGGCCACTGCGCCAGACTCTTCCAAGTAAGTTCCTGGGAGTGCTTCCTAGTCGGCGTCCTGTCGGATCGCGCTCGTCGCTACGTGGGCACTGTGGGACCCCCCTCACCCTCTGCGACTGCCGTTAGATGCAACTGCCACCCTTGGTGTCCCTCGTCCGAGGATCAATGCTAACAGCCCAC